CCCGGAGCCGTGCCCCGAGCGGAGCGCGGGCAGGGCTGGGGCCGGGGCGCCCGGGAGGGGGCTCGGCCGGCGGGCAGCGCTCTGCCGGGCGCCCGCGGAGCGATGCGTGCGCTCCGTGTGTCGGCGAGTCCCAGGAGCTACGTTTTTAGTTTGAGGTTTGCCTGGGTGTTTCACGGGAGTCTTTGATGTCCGCGTCTGCAGCTAAATAGTCACTTCGGGACTCGGGTGTTTGTGTCGCCTGCCGCTCCCAGCAGGTGCAGGATTCTGCTCCGGCCGATCTCCGGCATCGGTCCTTGCCGGCTCCTCTCCGCTCCATACCTTGTTGCAATTACGGTTTAGGCGAAACCTGTAATTTTCGATGGCAGTGACGTTGTCCTTTCGGCAACGTCCCCAATGCCTGAACGAGAAATAACTTTAAGATCATCTTCAAGAGGTTTTCAAGTTCTGCCAAACTGGAGTTCATCCTTCAGGGATGCTGTGCCAAAACCTGTCAGTGGCAGGTGAGTGGCCGCAGTGTGATGGGGAACTTCCAAACGTGTTTCCCTGCTCCCTGTCTCGGTTGTGCGGAAGGTAAGAGAGATCTGGCAATCACAGGGTACACCCGGTCTTCAAATTAATGGTTCAGAAGTAGACTTCCTGTATGATTTTCTGCAAATTGCTTAATTTCTTGTATCTTGTTTCTCTGTTTGTGAATTGAGAAATTGACACTTCCCTACTTGCTAAATAAAGTCGGTTTGTTTGGTATATCACTCAAAAACAGAAATTGGGATAGAAAACTGTGCCTTTGTTGTTCTGTTTTGGGGGGACCTACATGCGGCACGAAGAGCATCTGGGCTGAATTTAGAAAAAATGCCTTAGCAAATGCAGCAGTCCTTCAACTCTGCCATTTATTTTTAAATACTCAGCTTTTTTACACTGAGTGCTGTAATAGTTTTCCCTGTGCCTTAAGGGAAATGGACAGATTGTTCTGCTGGATGATGGGATAGACCTCAATCCATTTTTAAACTGGACTTTATGTTTTAATAGCTTGTTCCCTCTCTTACTAATTAGTCTGATAATTCAGTAATTTGTAGGACTTCTAGAACATGAAGCAGAACTTGGTTTTCTTAAAGCAAATGTCTAGCGATGTCCTAATTCAGCAGTCCTTATCAAAATTTATTGACAGCTGTGGCCACAGAAAAGTTTGGTATAGTTTTAAGCTCAATTAATGAATTTTGGAAGTTCTTGTTTTTGGTTGGAGGACTCAGGAGTGCTAGGGTCATCTTTGAATGGGCTGTTCAGAGCAACTGAGATTATTCAAAGGATTGTTTGCTAATAAAAGCCAAATGACAAAATGCCCTGACAAGTCTTTGGACACTAGAAATTATACACTTTTCTTCATGACTTCATTTATTTTAGCTTAGTGCTTGCCTGGGTTGAACTACAGGTCTCTATGGGCTAAACTTATGGTTTGTTTTTTTTCCCCCCTGCTAGAACTGCTAGATACATGCTGAATCTTTCATGCATAAAGGACTACCTCTTCATGACCTGGTCATTGTCTTTGACAAAGTGGTGAAACCATAGGAAAATGGTAAGTTTTTAACTTTTTTTTAAATTTAGGAATTACAATATAGAAAATTGTTTAATACATTGAAGTGTATCACAGGGACATTTGAACAGTTATTTGTACATTATGGTTGATTGTGGGATATGTTTTCTAGTTTCTAGATCCAGCTATCACCACATGCACCACATGCAAATATTTGAATTTACGGTCTTACCTCATACAGCCTTATGTCTTTGTAAATTATGGGCATTGTTGAGTGCTCTGGAATTGTTTCCTCCTAATTATTATTTCCTGAAATAAATCAGAGGAAATCAAAAGGGTTACCTGTTTGATTGGATTCCAGTCTGTGCTTGAACGAAAAGAGCTCATTAGTTGTATGGGTCAAAAGGATAGTAAAGAGATTTGATTTTTTTTTCAATGGTTCTAAATACCTTTTGCATTTATCTTTATTTGGCTCAATTTAAAGCTTATTTTTCCAATTGATATTATAAGATTAGTCTTTCAGTATTATTTTGCTGTGTTGTAACCACTTAGCCATAGTAAATATTGGCAATGGTTTCTAAGTAAGGGTGAAAATTGCAAAAGTACCTGGATCTTGATCTCAGTTTTTCAAACTCTTATGCTTATGCTTCATTTTAAGTACAAATTTGGCAGAATTTCTATCTTCCACCAAAAGAACCTGATGAGTATGTCAATGGAAATTTGCATGATGGTATTTTTGTCTTGTCCTAGTGAATACTTATCATTAGAGTCTCCTCTAAAGACTCAGAATACAGATTAAGTTTGAAAGGTTTACATGTTACCAAATACCACCTCTAATGTGACTTTCAGAAAAAGCTTTCAATAGAAATGAAAGAAGCTCTTACAATAGAGCTGAAAGAATCACTTAAGCCTATTTGCTTCAGTAATGTGAAAATAAAATAATCTGCTACATGCTTGAGTTGACAGAAATGTTTCTGCTTTGCTGAGAAGCAGGATGCTGCAGAATTATTGTTTTCATTTATTTTATTAAGCATACTTGAATAATTTTGTTGTAATGCTTTGGTTGGTGACCAAGGAAAATAGTAGGAGTGGTAAGATTTTTTTTTCAAAAGTGCTCTAAGCACTGCACATTCAGGAAAAGAGTCTCTAGGAAGAATTATTTTTTTTAAAAAATGGAGAGTAGCCTCATTCTTTTGTCATATTTTCTTGTCATCACTGTCCCCCGCTCCAAGCCCATATATGCACAAAGGAAATCTCCCAAGAACTGAAGTAGCATTTAATCCTATGCCACAATCTGGTTTGAGATCCAGTGAGTTTGCAGCCTGTGGGTTGTGTTCGACATCTTCCTTTCAAGTGAAAGTCTGCCTTTATAAGGAGGTCAGGCAATTTTGTATTTAGAGCTGTTACAGTCTATAAACCTTAACTTACTGCTTTCCTGCATGTCCTCTGTTGACAATTAAAAATTGTTTGACATTTGGGTGGGGGCAGTGGCTGTCAGGGGAGGTGAGTTTTGCTGTTTGGCCAAGCTATTAGTAGCAAGGGAAATTAGAATCCAAGGTTCCTTGGATGCTCGCCTGCTCCATGTGACAATGTAGATTCCAGGCTGGCGCTGAAAACCTGATTAATAGGGAGTTGCTGTCCTGTAAAAGTCTGTTAGATCAATTGTGTAGATCACTGGAGAGTAACTGCCTAGGTACCAATTAAGTGAAACTATAAAGTAAGTTCTCCTTTGAGATAGTTTCTGATCACTAAGTGTGATGTCATGTATGCTAGAATAAACTTATTTGAATAAAAAAGTTAAACCACTCCTATTTCTGATCACTAAGTGTGATGTCATGTATGCTAGAATAAACTTATTTGAATAAAAAAGTTAAACCACTCCTATGCTATTTTTCTTATGTAATACCATGCTGTTTAATAGGAAAGCTTTTTCATACCAGGTGCAGATTGACTTTGCAGCCTTACAAACACTGCAGCAAAGTTTACAGCTGACAAAAGAACCATTCAAAACAAAAGTAAACATTTTAAAAATTATCTCATGCCTTGAATTCTGTCCCTGTTGATGCTAACAACAGTGTCCATGTTTTATCTCCTTTCTAATGAACACTAAGCGATATTTTTGACATTTTCGGTGGAGAGGTGAAGGGTTTTGTAGTGTGAAGATGGTTGCGTAAGCTGTGTATTATAAGGCATTTTGGCAGGGTTACAAATTTCTCACTCTGTACTTTGTCTGTGTGTACAGAGGACCTCAGTCCCTAGGGCTATCAATCTGGTATCTTTCATCAGCACTAAATTTACTGCAAATAATTCTTGTGTGCATGCAAAAAAAAAAAAAGCACTATTAAACCTTTGTGGGCAGGAGTGAAAACATTCAAATAGATGCTTTTTCTGTTTATTTCTCAGAATTTCTCTTCGTTGAATTCTGGTGAGCATATTCTGATGAATTAAAGTCACTCAGCATGTGTTTGTGTGTCTACCTCATCATAAGTTTTTATCCAGAAGGCTTTCAAAATGTTGCCTTGCTCGAGAGCCTGTCGCACCAAAGATTTTTTTTCTTGTTTTTTTCTTATTAATCTATTTACAATATAACCGTGGTGTCTTTGAAACTGTTTGGCTAACTGATGAGGAAAGTGAAATGCTGTTAGTGCCAGAGATTCCTGTATAGAAATTTTGTTGTGTTGTGCGCTTGCTTTTTAGGAACAGAGCTGCTTAGTGCGAGTGTGAAGTTTTTTCCACTGTTATTCCATTATGCTGCTCCACCTGTCCCAAGTGAATTGCTAATGTGTGGGCTTAGAATGTGAGCTTCAGCATGGCTTTTGTCTGTCCATGCCAATGATTTTCTTGGGTTTTTTGTCTGGAACATTAATGTTACACTGGAGGGCAAGTTCAGATCAATTCAGAGCAACTTTAAAAAAAGAAAGAACTAAAAACTAATAATGGTATTCATTTTATCTTGGTAAAATGAGCATGTTAGGAAGATTTTTAAGTTCACTTGATGAATATGTTGAAATAATATGGAAATTCTTAATGTACATTTTGGAGGTTCTTTCTTAATGGCTATAACTTGGAATTTTGTGTGCTTTTAGCCTCTGAGTGAGGGCATGATGATCTTATCACTTCAGACCTACATTTCATCTGGACCTGGATCACAGTTCAGCTGTTGTTCATTCTGTTTTTACAGTTCTACAGTTGACCCAATTTGGCAAAATAATCAAATTGGGGTGCATCTTGTCCTGAAATTACACGTTTGTCAGTTGTTCAGTAATATTTTGGCATTTTCACTGACTCATGGCATTATTTTATAAAGTGACATACACCATGCAGAGATTGCACATTTGATCCTAGAAAGATTTGATCTTGGCAAGAGTTGGCATAAAAAATTACTCTTTGTCCAATGTTGTTTTGGGAGGTGCTTAGTTTCTTACCTGGATTTCTCTTTTTTTCCTGGAAGACTGTTGAAGTCTACTGTGTTAAAACTGAAATATAACATCATTAACACAAGGAGAAATAATAGTCATGCAGTTTCTCTATGGGCCTTTAAACTTCTTCTGTCATGGAATCATTGAAACAATCTCACTTTGGATTTTAAGTGAAATTAAGTTTTGCTACCTTACAGTACTGAGTTTTTGTTAATGTTTGTGATAGCGGCAATTTTGTAATGGAAAGATCTTTCTTAAATGGAAACTAATTAAAGTGACCTTGATCATAGTTTTTTGAAAAGCTGATCTGAAACAAATCAGATCTCTGTTTACAGGCTCAGATACTGCAAGCATTCAAATTCCATAGGGAGAAACTGTGTGCTTCAGAAAACCTAAGATCTATTAGTCAAAAGTATGTGTAAATTGTTAGAGACAGCTCATATAGCCACTATCTGTTTACACAATTAGAGCTGAAATGAATTTACCATAATAACTTCCTGTTGAAAGGGGGAGAGTTAAAACAGCACTCAAGGCTAAATTCACCACTGGGTTTAAGTAGTTTCAGCTTCATTAGCTTCAGTCAAGTTACACCAGTGATTAATTTTTTTGGGGGTTGTGATTTGCTTAGCATAGGTCTCTTACAGTTCATATATGGTTAAGTTCTTGCTCATGCATTTAAGGGCCAAAAAAAGAAAGAAGAAAGAATACCAGATTAAATGTATTGTACCTCCTTACAGTCCTTGTATGAAATATTTATTTCATAATCTCTCATTGTATTAATCTTTGCTATATCCCTGTGAAATGTATCAGTACTTTGTGGTTAAGAAGTGCAATACAGATGATGTAACAGTGTGACTGACTTCATGGAGGAGGTTCAGAGCAAAGAAGGGATTTGATCTCATTCATTTGTATCTGACACTGAATAATGTAGAAACTAGACCATCCTTTCTTTTAGAAATGTAAGGTAACAGATGCAAGATTTCAGTAGAGCTGCTGAGTATTCTGATTTTCTATTGATGACAATTATCAAAGCTCTAACAATTAGCTCTATTCTTAATAAACAAAAGTTTATTAACCTTCTGGTTGGTCCTGCAGGCTTGATAACAGAGGGACTGCAAGTATGTAATACTTCTGGACAAGAATTATTTCATAACTTTCATGGACAGCTTTCCTTTCTACTTGTGGTTGCTTCTGGCATTGATATGATTTAGGACCTTATTGAATATTTTTTTAATCATACCTTTCTGTGTGTTGATGAGGACTATAACATTTGCTTGTCCCTCATCAATATAAAAAAGAGTGGAATTCAGTCTTACTATGAAATGTAATTCTCAGAAAGTCTTGAACATTCTTCTTTCTTCAGTTGGGCAACTTTTAGATAGTTGCCTCATTCTTGTTTGGATTTCAAGGGATCTTTTCTGAGTTTCTGCTTTTTCATATATGTTGAAAATTGTTACCTGAGATCATGAGAGATTTTATATTGTATGTTTTCTAGCAACCTCTTAGGAGATGGTAGGATCCAACAGCTTTCTCAGGTCTTTGGAAAGTAAAGATTTGGATAAGAGTGAGTTGAGCTGGTTAATTCTCATAAATATAGTTTGTGGGTTTACAGGACTTTTCTTTTCTTTTTTTTTCCTGTAAGGAAAAAGTACCTATCCTAGAAAAGATGCATAAATTTGTCTAGTAGGAAGCTTTTCATTTTTGTTATGCTTTGTAATCAAACTTGTGCACATGTTCTGAAGTGTAACAAATCGGAGTGTTCTTCAATTAGAAGGAAAATTTAAAAATAAAAAAAGGCAAATTACTACTTTTCAGAAGACTTAATAGGAGGTTCATGCATCCCAAGGCAAGACCAGTTACTCATAGGTTATTCCTGAGCAACATTTGTCTAGACTGTTTATAAAAGAGCTTCAATGGTGAGAGTTCTCCATTCTCCTAAAGCAGTCTGGTCTACTGCCTTTTCTACCATATAGATCTGGTTTTTGTTGCAGATAAGAAAAAAAAAATTGAACACATCGAATGGTTGCTTTTTGTTCTTGTAACATTCAGTCAAATTTGTGCCAGTGGAGCTTGAAACCCAAAACTTTTCAGACACTTGGGGGACTCATCACTGTGTGTCTTGAGTGCTGACAAAGAGGCTGTTTGTGTGAAATTTTTGAGAGAACTGTCATATGTTCTACTAAAAGCTACTATTTGTTTCCAGACAAACTTCTTGTATTTGGCTACATGACTGAAACATATTTTTTAAGTGATGTTAAATGTGGAATAGTAGATTATGTCTGGCAGTATGTTTATCATTGTTTATTAAAACTGTGAATAAGCAGTATGACTAGGAAGCTTAGAAGTTGAAAATAGCATGTGAAACTTCCTCTTTAAACCTCACTATTCCTGCTGTTTATAGATGTGAAGATCATTGTGCCTTTAAATGCCACTGCCGCTTGAGAAGTGTCACTTCAGTGTCAGAAAGTACAAAACCACCAAAGTGTTTACGCTCAGACATTTTTGTAAATTCAATGAAATTAGATAAACCACTCTGGTATCTGGATACTTCTTGAAGGAAAACAGACTTAATGCATTTGAAAAAATACACCTCTTAATCTGTGTATCTGACACAGAAGCAGAAAGCACGTAGAAAGATATTTTTACCCCTAGTACATTTTTTTCAAAGCCCAGCAGGGCAAACTGAACAGGCAGAAGGACATTAATGAGATTCTCTCATGGTGAGGCTGTCCAGTAAAAGGGCTGTACATTAGTCTGTCTTTTGCAGTGATAAACTTCCAGTGAGTCCATGCTATAAGGCAGCACAACAGCATGGGGTGTGCTTTTCTGCAGAGGTGTCAGGTTGGATAATGAAAGCATACATATTAATGTCTTTATTTCCTTTCCTTTAGAAACAGCAGCGTTCCAACTATTATGTTTCACATAAAATACAATGCAGAGCACAATTCTGTTAGCTGGAATTGCTCTGGCTTTGTGAGATGATTACAGCAACATGAATTGCCTATCACCTTTGTCTGCTGTCTATTTCTTTATGTTGCAAATTCTCTGATGGTCAAGCACATCTTCAGCAGCTAGTACTTGTCTTGGTTGTGGTGAGGCAAGGGCACACTGGTAATAATATTCCAGGCTTCTTTAGATATATCTTGGCTTGCACGTTAGATGAAGAAGCAAACAGTTGTAGAGAAGTTGCATTTGCACTTCTCTAAAGAACATATGTGCTCTTTATCAGCTCCTGTAACAGCATAGTAGAAATGTCCTTTTTCTTGCAAGCTAATGAACTCCTAATGCTATGTTGTATGTGGTTTTTACATAGTGTTGTGTAGATACTGGGTCATTTAGAGTTTCCCCCATCACTGAATCTTCATTTTGGTATTAAACATAAATGTTCATAGAGTGGGATCAACCTTTTTCCTTCTAGGTGGATGTTAATGGGCAGTAAAAAGAATTTCCAGTATATGTTTTGATTGTGTATGGTCATGATAGTTTTCACATTGGTTTTTATTAATTTGTAGAAGATTATTTATCAATATGAAAAGAGATACTATAATTTAAATATTCTCTTATGATTTATCTTCATACCAGCTGTCAGAAAGATCAACAGATTTATTCTTAAGAAATATATGGATTATGTTTAGTTGTTCTTTAAATTTTAGTGTTTCTGCAATTTTCCTTATTTTGTTCTAATGGCAGAAACACCAACTCTGTAAACATAATGATTTTTAAAACTACTTGTTTCATTTTCATGGAATCAATTTTTTGATTGTTTGGTTTTTTTTCTTGAAGAAGTGTAAAGCTGCTTGTGTTTAAGTAAACAAGAGAGTGGGAATATGCTAAAACCTTGCAACAGTAAAGAAAACTAAATTTCTTTAATACTAGTTAGTACCTATTTTTTACCTGTCCCTAAACCTGAGACTTGCTGGATTTCTTCTTTCAAATTATGGGGATTCCACAACATCTCTAGATAGCCTGTTTGGTTGTTTACATAGTGACCTTTTTTAGACTGAATTGCTTTTGCCAGATGTAGTGCTGACCCTTCCTTTCTGAAAGTGTTCTCTTGCTGGGATCCAGGTTCTCTTGTGTACATCTTGTTCTGTGTATATGGTGCACAAAAAACCCTCCATTATTGTAATTGATTAGTGCCTGGTAGAACATAATGAATTCTCTTGTGCATGTAACACTTGTTGTATTATATCTCAGGAGAAAAAGAAAGCGTGGACTCTTGGTCAGTTTTCTGTCTGGTATCTCTTTGAGATGCTTTTCATCATAACAAAAATGACTGGTTAATCCCTATTTCACATAGATGTGCTTATTTGTTCCAAAAGTTTGAGGATATTCCGTTTGTGTTAGTGAATTTCATGCTATTCCTTTTGGAGCACTTACTACTACAATTAATTTTGAATTTAATTAAATCCTAAAAAAATGCTTGTAACTGCTTCTAACTGCAGACTATATACTGCTACTGTGGTTTATCATTGAAGTTAATGAAAATATTGCATAGAAGCAGGACTGAGAAACAATCTGAAATGCCCATTTATTTTGAATAGAGCAGTGTTGGTGATACACTGAGGAGGCTGACTTCCAAAGAATTAAAATACTTAAATCTCTCTAATTAATGCAGAAAAATTAAATGGCATGAGAAGGAGAGAGGGGAAAATAGTGTCTTTGGCAGAAGAGCTATATGAAGCCAATCAAATGGAATAAAAAACCAGTGTGATGTAAACTTTTCAAATGTTAGAAGAAACAACATTATGATCTGGATTGTTCTGTAAGATACATCCAAGGTCAGTAGATGAAATACTACACTATATGTTCAGTAAACATTCACAGAGCCCACCAGTTGTTCAGGATAAAGGAGCTGAGTTAGTATGAAAGTTTAAGGGGCCTGGTGTTGTTTGTGGTTTTGTTTTGTTTTTAATACCCTCTTCAAATTTTATCCATGCCAAGTAGGGAGTGATCCTGCTTCTTACTACTTTTTTTTTTTCCCAACAGCTATGTTTAAGGTTATGTTTCCATAGTACGGATATATGGAAAAAAGTGAGCAACTGAAAAAGTTGTCAAAATTATATGAAGTTGTATGAAGTATATGAAAGGGAACACTGATGAGTATGGACCTTTTAAAACTGAAGTTGACCTAAAATACAAGCAAGGGGCATTTCTCTAATATACATACTGTTTGTCCTAAAGCAAACAAACGTACCAGTAACTTCTTCAATACAGATGTTATCTTTTAGCCACTTGGCAAATATTTTCCTTTTTTTTTTTTATTTGTGCTATGATCACCATGATTACATGTGCCAATTTTAAGAATCTGTGTGGCAACAGAAGCACTTTTATTCAACAGTACCTTTTAACAAAGGTCAGCACGGTTCTACTCAGTGTTAGCTTTTATTTCAATTTTGGGCAACCAGTGGAGGGAGAAAAGATGGGCCTATGAAGAAAAAATAATTTTTTATTAACATGTTGTTTGTTTTTACATTCATTTTAGTGAAATAAGTTCAGTAAATACAAGAACCAGAACCATATGTTAATGGTCTTTTAAATATAGTTTAAATCCTAAGAGAATTTAATTTCATTTTTGTTTATAAATAAGTGTTTCTACTTTTGTTTTTAAACAGAGCTAAAGTTCATTCTCACAGGATTTAGATTCACTTTGATACCTGCCTGGTGCCTTGGTAAACTCAAAAGGAATTACAAATAGTAGCATTGAAAATCAAGAAGGTAAAAAATTTCATCTGGGTGGGAGGGGAAATACTTCTAAAAGATCAAGGGCAAGAGTGTTCTAAATTCCTTGAACTAGCTTTTTTGGGTTTTTATTCTCTAAGGAGTCGTAAGGGTTGTAGAAAGGAATAGATTTTCAGGGCTACTTTTATTTGGAGAAATACTGAGTTTCAAGCAATAAAGAGAGAAATGTTGTGCTTTCCAGCTTCTCAGCTACAGAGGGACTATCATTCCAGCCAAATGTTCAAAGGAAGTGAGTTAACATTTTCCATCAGAATGTTAGCTTCCTCTACAGCAAATATCACTTGTCAAAAGCATCTTTTCTCATTTTTCACAATCAAATAGGAAACACCTTGTTCAAATGCATTTGTATTTCTCTTTCCCTTTGCTGGCTGTTAAAAGTATAAACTGTTTTCTGCGGATAGAAGCAAGACAGTGGTGGTAGGACATGCAGATTTGTTAATTATTGCTGTTAAAACTAATTCCTCATTGGGTTTGGGCAGTTTACTTCAACCTCTTTTGATGCGTTATTTGATCTATGGGCTGGGGAAAGCAGCAGTAGTTATTATTTCATGTGGCAGAAAGACTAAAAGGTCAATTTCAAATATAATGTTGTGTTTGGGATTATTTTTTTTAGTGCTTTAGAAAAGGTATCAATAAATCAACATGACTGTAGTATGGGTGTCTAATAATAGCTAGTTCTGATTCTTTCTGCTCTTATTAAAGTTCTGTCCTCCTCTTAACCTGCAATTTGGTGTTTAATTCTCTTTGAGAGAAAATTGCTTGATTAAGGAACATCCTTCTGGTGAACAGATGCATTTTCCAGATAAGTCCTCAGTATCTCCTCTAGAGTTCCCTCTGTCTTTCTGATGCTCAAGGAAAACCAATTATCACCTAATGTGGTTGCCAAAGGAAAATGCAACTTTCATCTCTATGTACAATTCATAATTCTTCTAGACTAGGACAGAACATTTCCATGAGAAGGGACCCTAGGGTTATCACCCTGTCCTGAGCAACTCAGGGCTGACCAAAAGTTAAAGTGTGCTGCAAAGAGCGTTGTCCAAATGCCTCTTAGACACTGGGGCACTGGCCACCTCTCTAGGAAGCCTGTTCCAGTGTTTGACCACACCCTCAGTAAAGAAATGCTTCCTAATGTCCAGTCTAACCTTCCCTGGTGCTGCTCCTGTGTTTTAGGGTAGGCAGTAATTTTTGTTAGACTGGTATGGCTGGAAGTGGTTAGCCAGTTCTTCAGGTTGGAAGCGGAGATGGAGTTGTCCTGGGTGGTGCTGGCTTTTGCTTTTGTACTGCCCAGCTGGTGGTGGCTTGTTGCCCTCTGTGTGCTTCTCTGGAACACCTCACTATCTATTTAACCTGTGCTTTGTGTGCTTGTCTGCGAGCATGTTTTGGAAACAGTGTCAAAAGCCAGTCACAGTAAATTGCATCCATTATTCCCCCTTCTGCTAAGCAAGTCAGTGTTTTGTAGAAGCACAACTTACCCATAAATCCATGCTGACTGCATTTGATGACCACCTTATCCTTCAGATGTTTGAAAATGCTTTCTGAGCTAACTTGCTGTAATGTCTTCCAAGAATTGAGGTGAGGCAGAGCAGCCTGTAGCTCTCTAAATCCTTCTTCTTCTGCCTAAGATAGCAGTGATGTTTTCTTTTTCTTTTATTTTCTTTTTTTTTCCCTCGGTCCTTTTAGCAACAATGAAGTTTATGAAGGAATAATTTGGGGAAAATCACTTTATTAATCTTTGTCAGAAATGTGTGTATGAAGGAAACCCTACTTATTCTTTGGATTTTTTTTCCATTTTTCTGCAACTTAATTCTTCTATAGCAAGTAAAATCAAAGATCGTCTTGCACATTTACCAAGTGTGTATTTCATTTACCCAGCTTGTGTATACCAAGAGTTAAGAAAGCCTGGTGAAAACAGGTATCCTAAAATGTACTTTCATTTACAGGAAAGCATAGGAACGTGCTTTAGGAGGCTTACCTAAGCTCTTCTATAATGCAAGAGTGCTTGCTGTTTCTTGGCTTCGCTATTCAAAACGTGAGCTAGATCCAGTGAGATGTACATAATGAAGCTGTATTTTGGGTATATGGTTGCTAATTAAACAGCAGTATTGCCGTGCTTCTAAAGGCTAAGGGTAGAAACTGATACAACAATGATCCTGGAACATGTAGGTCTTCTGCTAAGTTACTCTTTTTTTGTTCCTGTGAGCGTGTCTAATTGCAGCATTGATTGGAGCTGCACCTTCACAAAAAGGGAAAATTGACTCTTGCTGAGAGTAGGTGGGGGTTTTGGTTTTTTATCAACAAACCATCTGCTTCTGTGTATACTGAACACATGTTGAATATTTTCTTGAAAATAATGTGACAATTGAGGCAATAAACAAGTTCTACTTCCATCTAATTCTGATAACACAGTTAATCTATCTGCAAGTTTGATCTGATACCATCACTGACAGAATTAAAAGTTGTTCTCTTTTATTCCTCCCTGGTTTATTTTTATTTCAGGCTAACTATGATCTTATGTGACAAGAATGCTTTTGTTTTAGCCATGGATTTAAAGGGGGGGGGAAGGGGGACGTGAGGTGGCTTCTGTTTATCTTTTTGTTTTTCTCATTACCTCAGCTGTAACAACAGGAGAACTGTTGTAAAGATCAGCTGTGCTTTTGATCAGGTAACTACAACAATTGTAATTGGATAAAAATATAACTTTATAGGGGTTATTTGTGTGTAAATATCCCCCGTGCTAAGACTTTAAGTGGGTCAGTGAATGAAAGAAATTCCCCATACTTTTAAGCTGTATCTCTTGGCTAATGTGAGTCTTTATTGGCTGGCACTGGCTGACATTATTTATCTGTTATACTATACATATTGTAAATGCTTCATTCCATTTTATATTTTAGGTCTAAAAATATCTGGAGGGAGATTAAGTGTTTCAACAAGTAACGCTCTAATGGATGACAGAGACTTTCCACCAAATGATCTGCAAATAGACTCAAAGGACAGTCTTCCTGCTAACTACCGAGTAGAAAGTTTGGCATCTCATCTGATTCCTTCAGCTGATGAAAATGAAAATCAACTAGACAGTGATGGGAATGAAGTTCTGACCAGTAGTAGCATTGTTATGGGACGACAGGATAAAGGTGAACAGGATAACATCAATAATAATGAGAATATGGACAGTGGAGACTGGATCCCAAGCTGTACGGAAAGTGAGACTGGGAGAAGATCTGTAAATGTCCATATGGACCCTCAGCTGGAGGAAAAGGCTGTTACAGAAAAGCAGCCAGGTGGAAAAAGAAGTCCAAGAAGCAAAAGAAGCTCCAATAAAAAATCTAAAGGTACTTCATTTACAATTTTTTGTTCTGTTTATTTCAGAAGTAACACTGTAGTCTAAATCTGTGAGGTAACAAGAAATAGATTTTAGGTGTTGTACTAATTTTTTTTAGCATTTCATTAAAGGTTTGGTGGGTTTTGGTTTCTTGTATTTTTTCTTTCCCGGAACGGCTCCTAGTCTTCAAACAGATTCAACTCTACATGTTTTCACCTTCTGTATTTTAGCAGACTACCTAGCAAATGTAGCACACCAAGTAAACAGGAGTAGAGGGAGGTACGCAGTGTCAGTATGGAAACTGGGCTGGCATCCAAACCAGAATGGACAGAAATTCTGGCATTACAGTTTTCCTCTTTTGAACATCATGGTGGAGTACAACATTTTGGTGTCTTGGTCCCATGTCAGCATTTGAAATCTTGTTATTAGTACCAAGTACTTGTTATTGCCCTGCTGTTGTAAAATTTACTGACATTTTTCAAAGCTTACCAGATAGGCCTAGGTTGTGTGCTTTGAGTAACTGTTAAAAAATTTGTTCCCACCAATTTTTGATGATACTTTTTCTTTAGATATTTTGGATGTGAATTGGATAAGGAAAATGTAATGTTTATTGTATGTTCTTACTTGAAATACTTCTTCCCTTTTTGAGGGAGTAGGATTTAGTGTAATATTAGGTTTTTGCCATACATCCTAAAGACATCCTAAAACTTATGTGTCATAGTGCTGTATGTTCATTAAAATCAGTATGTTTCATGCACAGGTTTCTTTGAAAGAACAGCTGATTCATGTGTGCTTTTTTCCATGCATTTTAAACAAAATAATTTTAAAATACAATTTTCCTCCTAAATGGCAAGTCTTTTATGACCTAATGAGAAAGCTGATTATTACTTAAGGGATTATAGATCAGGTAAAGACAGGAAAGGAAGAAAGCCTTGCATTCCATATCTTGTACAAATAGGCAAAATCTGAAAAGAAAAATTATATTGTCTAGTAGAGATAAGAGCATTCTGAAATCTGTCATTACAGATTGAGAATGATTTCTCAGAAACTTTCTTCAGGCAAAATCTGAAAAGAAAAATTATATTGTCTAGTAGAGATAAGAGCATTCTGAAATCTGTCATTACAGGGAGAATGATTTCTCAGAAACTTTCTTCCACACTTAATAAGTACATATATTTAACCTGTAGATTTAAGTTTTAATAACAGAATAAAATAATTTAAATGAGATTGGCAGAGGTAATTGAGAACCAGTCATCTGTTATTTCATGATGGAAATAACAAAAAAGAAGTTGAGGAAAAGTTATACATACGTGTTGACATAGATGTCTGAAGCACAATAAGAGGAAGAAAGGAAAAAACTCACCTAACACTAGAAGTTGAGCTTTGCTCTTATTCTTTCTCCATGAGTTCGTATTCCTGTTGAATGAACTCATGCAGAAATACTGCAAAATGAGCTGTCCACAGTAGATTGAAGTTTTAAGACAGAAAATTCAAATCCTGAAAATATAGAAAATTTCATAGAAAAACCTGGCAATGTAGAAAACCACAGAAGAGAACATCCTGTCTCCAGAACATCCAAAACTCTTTAAAGTTCGAATTCTTATTAATAAACTCTTGTTACTTTATTAGTAAAGAACCTTGATTGTTAGAGAGGAAGATCAAAAAATAAAATTACATTATATCTGCCGTTGTTTATGGGCTAATAGACATTTAGTATTTTTTTCAATACTCTCACATGATGTTTCTTCTGTTTTCACAGAATGCAGTTGACTGTGTCACAATTTCTTGATGTTGCAAATGTCATTATTTTAGTGGCAATCTTCCATTTTATTCTCAGCACCAGCTATTTTAAATGATTACTGAATATCTCGCTACACCCTCTACATAAAGGTCCAAATTAGCTTTCTTCTCCTTATACCAACTCAGAGTTAAAGGAGAGAATAATCAAACTAGATGGGAAAATTCCTGAGTGGATAACAGTGGGAGCACCACACAAGCAAGCTGGAATATCAAACTAAATACTTGCATGGCATGTATTGTTGTGATTTTCATAAAAATATATTTTAAACTGCTGAGAAATCATGGATGAGTTACTTTGAGTCATAACTAAGGAGGAGATTTATTAATCTTTTTAAGCACACCTGTTATGATTGCTATTAAATGTTGTCATTCTAGAAAATATGACATTTGACTTAAAAAGCACATTGTTCGTATTCCTCTTCTTGCTAGTGACTAAAGTAATTTATGTAGAAAATTACATTTTAGTCATCTTTGTTTACTTGTGACTTGCTCAGCAGAATACTGGTGATCATTAGAGAAGCCAATCTTTCGCTCTCAACGTGTTTTTACTTTAAAAGAAAGAACAAGTATTCGCACTTTGCAATGTGTTTGAAACCCTCTAAATAGTTGTTTGTGAAGAAAAAGCAGTTATGAGTTGGATTATTATCTGTCTGTATATGCTTGGGATCTGTTGAAGCTAAAATTATCCTAGCTTTTCCTATCAGTAGACTGGAATGCAAGTTGAACAGTCATTGTACCTGGCTGAAGATCCTGCTGGTTCAATGTTCTTCCCCTGACACAGGCCAGCAGAGCATTTGTAGGTGAGAGTACAAGGACAGGGCAAACATGTTCTGCTCTCCATCTGCAATCTCAGGATTTCCCCAAGTGGAAATTCATAGACTTGTAATACTTTAGAGTGAATTTGTCACCTGACTTACAGTTGCTTCTTGCATCCATTTCAGTGCCCTGGAGTAAGCAGTTCCAGGATTTAATCTATTTATTGTTTGAAGGAGAACCTCCTTTGAGCCCTCTCGATGCTGTAAGAAATTGAGAGGGGATGGACAAGTCTGTAGCTCCTAGATCCCAATTTTTTCTCACATCCTTTTTATATACTCACCATAGTTTTGAATGTACTATGATTATATCTGGTTAGGGAGGACTGGTGACCAAAGAATACATGTACATTTTAACTGAAGAATTTAAACTTTAGTCATTATTCATAATGTTATTCCTTGTTAAGAGTTGTACTAACTTTAGTGTGGTAGAGATAGTGACTCATCAAGTTTAATCTGTTTCAATATATTTTTGTAAATATGGACTTCAGATTATCCATATTCTCTGAAAATAAATTCATCTTTTTTCAAAAGGTCAGTCCTGGCATAACTTAGTATTGTCAAATCATTATATGATTCCTTAACATAGTATAACATGGTATAACCTGCACTCAAGTCTTTTTTCCCCAAGTTAAATTCTGCTACATATGCTTTTTCTGTGAATTATTCCACTTATTTCTTATAGCAGCTTGAAGGTGGAGGAAGGAGGAAAGTGTTTGGGATGGAATTGGTGTTGAAGGGAATAAAATATATGAATATAAGATGGTCAAATTACATGAAAATTCAAGTAACGTTATTTAATTTAGGGTTGTGTACCAAACAAGATTTTGAGCTTGCTCAGTTGAAGTTGTATTTTTACCACCAAACTTTTATCTCAAAATCTCTTCTTTTAAAAATGAATAATCTTTAAATACTTGCTGGTCTTTTTTTCTTTTTTCCTCAATAGTTCTTGAATGAATCAGTCTGAAACAGCTTTCTGTATTGGGTACCAAAGAATGTTTAAAAAAAGAAATTGCCATATGTTTTCTGTACTAGAAACTTCTGTTACTGGTGACTTTAGTGCTACTGAATATGAAAATTCAAATTCATATAAAAAACAGAAGGCAACATCCATAATTTTATTTTGATAGCAAATCACTCATACTTGCACCTTGGATTTATCCTCAGGTAGGTAACAAAGAGCATCTTAATTTCATATACTTGCAGTATTAAAAAAGAGAAAAACCTGAGACATACTGAAAAATGTGGGGGTTTTTAAGTGTGTCAAAATTTGATCTCTTTTAGGCAAATGTGGGGCTGCTTCTGTGAGCTGTTGGGGAAATTGAGAGAACGTTTGCTTCTCTCCATATCTTAGGAAACATTGACACATCCAACTGGGCATAGAAGGGGTCACTTGAAACATTTGTGAGTCTGGCAGAGCAAAAACTTGAGCCTGGCTCTTTGCCATGGACCTGCTGAGTGCTCTGGCCACTGATGTCTTCTGTGTCTTTTTGACACATTTTCATAAAGGTTTTGGTTCCATTCTGCGGTGGAGTAAATATCAGTGCTTTATAAAGTGAAAAAAATTAATCCTTCCTTATTAAAAAATCAGAAATATAGTAAGATACTTATATCTATTTGCTTTGGACAGTAAGATTGCTTGATTCCTGGAAAAAATAGAGTGCTGTTTTCAAGAACGGGGGAAAAAATAAATAGGGATCCTAGTCCGTCACATCTTTATGGTGAAATAGCATTACAAAGTGTTACAATAAAAGTTGTGGTGCTACTAGGGCACAAATATTGTCTTGTGTTGAAAATCAAACAAGTTAGAATTAACCCACATAGCTGTAAGGCCTCCCTTTCAAAATCAGGTAAGAAATTGGAGGGCAGGATTTGAATACGAATGGCAGCTCAATCATATGTACAAATAATAATGCAGTTTATGAACTGTGTTAGCAACAGTATCATGAAAACACTAAAATTAAGGGTTTTTTATGGGAGTTGCTATTGAGCATGTTGCAGTGAATGTTCATGTTTTGATATGACAGGTGGTTATTAACTGCTTTAAAAAGTGCAGCTTGAAGTGACATTTGGTTTCTTTGTTTGTTTTTCTGAGAGAAAAGGTTTGTCAGCACACGAGGACCCTCTTTTCTGGTTTCATGATAATGTGCTAAACAGGAAGCTGTATTTTTTAAATATTTTTTTAAATTTTTAAATACAGCTGTATTTTTAAATAAAGCCTTAATTCCATCTCTAGGTCAGCACACGAGGACCCTCTTTTCTGGTTTCATGATAATGTGCTAAACAGGAAGCTGTATTTTTAAAGACAGCCTTAATTCCATCTCTAGAAGTATTTCCTGGTTTGTATCTTGCATCCAGTTGTGTCTCTTGTTGCTTTTGGCCCACAGGAAACCCAAATAAATACCGGAAAAGATCAGATATGTGCATTAATTTTGAAGAAGCAATGTTAAGTTACACCCTTATTTTTTCTGGCAGTAAGCCCTGTGAAAATAGTCACCCACAGAGATTATTAGTAGTCCTAACTTGGATAGTTTACTAAATAAAGAATTTAAAATAATCAAAATGGTGAAGTGTTCCATGGACAAGCTGATACCTTTCTTAGGTCCTAAATCTTAAACCTGAATTATCATTATTGGGTTTCAGAGGCAATGGAAACAGAGGGGTCTGACACCGAGTGCCCAAGCTGAGGACACAAAGGTGCTTGAAACAGTGCCCTCAGCTATCCGTCTTTCAAATGATAACATGATTTCAGCAAATGTTGATTGGGGAACATTACTCATTACAATTTGAGTTTAATAAAAGTTTATTATGTGCATTTCTGTGGCCAAATTCTCCAAATTGTTTTAAACAATTGTGGGAATTTTTTTAAGATCAGTCTTACGCGAGTGTGTGAAATTCATGTTTTATGGAGAAATAAAAATGAGTTTATTAACTGCTGGAATCAGCTGTAGTTTTCTGGTTGCTCCTAAGACTGTGTTTTACAGCAGGCTGTCATTTATTGCTCTCTGATCTTTGTGAGAGACTGATACAGTCAGTATATGGGTAGTTGATTTCTCCCACTGCTGCTGTCACCACTACTACTCTACGCTTCTTTGTTAATCTGATTTAACATTTTCTCATAACTATCATACTTATGATCAAAATACACAAGTTTTGCATTTCTAACAATAAAATGTGGGATTTGCACCCAGAAAGTTTTGGGGTTTTTTTGTAATATTCTTGTAGTGTTTTGCTTTACATTATTTTTCATATCTCCACCTGAATGCCTTACTTTTTTTTGACTTCTGTAAAACTGGGGACAGGCAACAGTGAACTGCCAAGAAATGCACCATGGAGAACATAGTTTTCGGTCTAGCAAGAAGTTCTGGGATCTAAATTCAGTTTACACATCCTTGTGTCATTGTTACCAACATAGGTCAGCACTACTGCCTCTTTCCCTGGACACTCAAACTGTCCAGCTGTGTAAAGTGAGGGTGGTCTTCCTTTTCACTCAGCAGAAAGGTCCCCTTAGACATCTCTCTCCTACAGTAGAGTCCCACGCTGGCATCATCTGCTTCTTTCTCTCCTTTAAGATCCTGCTGTCACTGTGAGGAGCCACTGTGTTACCATCAGGAACTGGTTGAATTGTCCTTCCTCCCTTGTGTCTGTCCATGCCCAGGACCTCTCCTTGTCTGAGGTCCTTGGCAGGAGCAGAGAGACAAACTGAAAACCCCACTCATACTGCCCTCACCTACCTGCTATTTGCCCTTTTTGAGCAAAACTGCATTCTAAGCGCTTTTAGGTCATCCTGGTCTCTTATTAATAATTCTGTATAACACTTTTTAAGTGTTGTGATTTTTTTTTTTCCCCATACGTGAAAGCAGGGTCCCATTTAGAAGTGTACAAAGGTCCCATTTAGAAGTGTACAAATATATCTGATGTTACTGTGTTGTGTTGGGTAGGTGAGCTGACAGTGGGACAGACCTGTCACAATGAATTTTGACATTGCCAGCATTTAGTTTAGCAGCAATGTTGTTTAACATACCAGGTTTTTATTTATAACATTCATATTGAAATTTCCTGAAAGAGCAACTCAATGTATTTTTTTTTAATCCTAACCTAAGTGCTTGTCCTTTTTAAAGGTATTTCTACAGTGGGAGCCACAACGATCCAGGAGGAAAAGGCTCTTAATACAGATACAGATTTTGTGCAGGCTGAAAGTGCTGTTGAAGCAAAGGAAAACTTTCATCCAAAGGACCAAAAGCAAACATTGCAGTCTCTTTTCTCTTTGCTCCGTGAAGAGGTTGAGCAGATGGATTCAAAGATACTGCCCCTGTGTCTCCATCAGGTACTTTCTATGATTTTGGTGTACTGCACCCAATTTTGCTTTTATTTGAAACCTTTGTTCATTAGGAAATATATGCATAAATGCGATTTATACCAATACTCATATCTGGGCAGGATACTTTGGTGCATATCAGGTCATCAAGGCAAATATCTCTTCTAACATCTTCTAATATTTCCTAAATTATAAATTGCCTTGTTAATATATTCTGTAGTTAAAAGAAACTCTTAAGGATGGGTTTCTAACTCCCCAAATGGTGAAATTAGTTTGGCAGGAAGATTTAGCAAAATCACTCTTTAATCTACCTTGAATAAAGTTTATAAGACACTGGTATAGTTACGGGACAGCAGATACCTAAATAAAAATTGAAGTTCAGAATTGTTTTTACTTCTGCAGACATCTTTCTAGTATAAAATTTATGCATTAATATTTGGATTCAATATTTTCTTCGTGTTTGCCTTTATATTAGCACAGTTGCATCACCTGCAAGACCAAAGGGAAAACTGTGGTTTGAAAAGCAATCTTTCTTACAAATTGGCCAGTATGTTGCTTTTTTTTACTGGAGGTTTTGATGCAGAAGGAATACATGGATAGAACTTGATGCTGTATTAATGTACAGTTGTTGTTCAGCTGTGTCAGACTAACAGCAGACAGAAGACCTTTTGCTTGGCTGTGATGTCTAATATGGGCCACATGTAGATACTATACCTGTCTGGTTTGACTTAGCTGCATTGTCTTAATTTTGGAACATGCTTTAAATTTCTGAACTGCAATGACATTCCTGTATTCTTCTTCTTTGATACAAATAAGCAATTATATGGGAGAAAGAGGTTTCACTTTAGGATTGCACATAATAGATAATCTACATTTGACATAGAATTTTAAATTATTTTTCTAAGCCGTGCTTGAGCAAAGATATTTTTAGAAATACTGTTCCTTAACTTATGAGAAGCTTATCTTTAGGGTAAACAATTCGTGCTTTTAGCCTCATCAAATTTGGTGGTTTTTCACAAGTCAGTACAAAGGTCATTTTTGGGAAACAAAATAGGGCAAAAACTTAAAATACTTTACAAACATCAAGGGGATCAATTGCACATGATGGAGGTGAAATGTGTTGCTTTTTAGATGAGGAAGCCAAACCCTGAGGGGAAGAACTTTTTGAAAGTCATGCAGGATCTGTGACAGAACTGAGAACAATATCTGCATATTCAGATTGAAATACTATTAGAACACTATCTCTTTTTCCTAAAAATTCTCAAGCATTTTGAATTGAGTGTTTGAGAGAAAGCTAATGGAACTTAAAAGGCTCATAACCTGTTTTTTAATAGAGGATGGAATGGGGGAGGATTTTAAGTTTAATGATTTTAAGTTTATTTCCTGTAAAGTGAGTCTATTGAGAATTTTTTCCTTTTCTAGTGAATTAACCTCTCATCTTCAGACTTTTTTTTTTCAGATTGCTAATACAGCCTGTCAGTAACATTAAGCCAAGTCTATCAAATAGTCTTCTACAACATTATTTTTTATTCTCTATGACAAAATTCAATGTAAAATTAAGAGTTTTGTCAGATGTTCTGGTGTATTAACAGTCCATGATGCTTGTGGGAAGCCTGTATTCAATACTTAAAGACAGGGGTTGTTCTAAGAGTCAACTTCTAGTTAAAATAGGATGTAATTTTTTTCCTGTCTTGAATGGGATTAATTTGATTTGTTTAGGACTTGTTACAGAATCTAAGAGGTATTTTTATATAAAACATAGGTAGTACCTTTGACAGCTCAAAAAATTCTTAGGAGGCTATTGTGGGCAGCAGACAAAATGCGCAGATAAAGGACATTAAAAGTCACAAAATTGGCTTTTGAAGGTACCAAACTCGAAATGGTCTAGCGGTTAACAGTCTGAGAGCCAGGAAATACAATTTGTAATCTAGACTCCTCTATCAAGTTGCTGTCTTTTTTGAGCAATCATCTTCAGACTTCTACAAAAGTGCTTATTTAAGCCTGCCATATTATGACTACTTAAATCAATCCCAAAGATCTTGAGGCTGAATTTTTGCGTGCTCCCACAGAAATCATTGGGGACTCATCTGTGAGGTGCCTCAGCCTGACTGTTCTGGTATCAGCATACCTGCAGTCCTGGACACATTTTGCCAGCCCTGCCCTTGCCTCGCCATGCATGGCACACAGGAAGGCTGCCAAAATTTGCTGTCCCCAAGGACTGATTAGTTGCTGCTTGTAAAGGTCACTGGTAGGGTAGAGCTCTGTGGAATACTTCTGAGGTTTATGTTTTTTGTGTTTCATCACATTTACAAACAAAGATGTCAGTATTCTTCAGCTTTTTAGGAAAGCCTGCACAGTTTTGTAACAAGCACAAGTAAGTTATTGTTGCAATTCTCAAATATTTTTTGTTTACAGGAAGACAAAAGACTGTTCTTTTCTCATCAGTCAGGAAATCTCCATTTCTGTTTTAAAACATTGCAATGTAATGCTCAGGAGAGAGCAGCAATGATCTTAATTTGATCAAACATAAGGAAACATTGGTCAGGCACAGAATTCAAACTTTTGAACTGGTGTCAGTAAAAATTGTACTTCTGTTGTAGGTCATTTTAAAGCTTTGCTATTAAGATAACTAAAAATGTTTCTGAAATAATTTTTATAGTTGTAGGAACTTAAAACCCTACTAAGGTTTTTTGGGTTTGTGTAATTCTGTAAATTGCACAAAATCAAATCTGTTTTGTGTGAGAGGATTTAATATTTCTGTGGTATTTGATTCTCTTTTCAAACCTTTTTCCTAGAATAGGAATACATGTATTTTGTCAGAACATTAATATATTACCCAAACTAAATAGGAACCTGCAAAATAGATGTTTCAAGCTATGATTAAAAGTTTATATTGCATCCTTACCACCATCATGAGAATTATAGAATCTTGGTTTTTTCACTTTTGCAGATAGCTGAGACCTATTTTCAAGAGGAGGAATGTATCCTTTTACTTGCAGAAATTGTTGCACAGTATTAAAATAATGTGGTATGATAAAACATAAAAGTCCAATGCTTTGTTGTTAACTCACATCTTGTGGGTCAGGGTTAGAAAGGAGTGAACAACCATAATTCACCCATGAGTGAACACACAGTATGGTAGCAAATCCTTCTTAATCAAACAACTGGATTGTGAGCTAAGGGATAAATTCACATCCAACAGCTGTACTGATGCAATCATTAATAGCTAGACAGAAAACCTTTTAAAAGAACTTTTGTTTTTATAAGATAACTGCTATTCTAAATATTAGTAACTGGGAAAATGTCCATTTTACAGATAGGGTGTGTATTATATCAAATAGGGTACTTACAGTAATGATAAAATTGTCACAACCGTTGATTAGAATATGTACTAAAAATGTCTAGATTGGAATAAAAATACCAAACACCTGGAGCTGACATCAGCAACCTGCAAATAATAGTAAAATAGTGTTTGACAAATGCTAATCAGTCAAAATCCTGTCAAGGTAGTCTGAGAAATTGTTCTAGGAAAATATGGGTAACTGCTTCTGAGAACAGTTTAATAGTCCAGTTTGTTTTGATTTGTTCCTATAATGCAGGTAAGTTTGGTCAAAAAGTTGTAATAGTTGAACTACTGATAATTATTCTGATACATTTCAGTAATTGTGTGAGAGAATAATAATACTAAACCTCAAAGTTAAGTCAGAATTTTAGAAAAGGTGGACTGGGATTTCCTCTTTGCTTCAAAGGGAAAATGATTAGATTATAAAAAGAAAATGCCAGTGGTAAGCCCTTAAGGTGTATGTGATTCACTAAGATGCATAATATATTAGAGAATTTGTGCATACTGATTATTTATTTATTTATTATGTAGTTTGTACAAACAAAATACAGCAAATAGACAATTGTGTAGGCTAGGTAACAAGGCATGAGAAACCTAGACAAATTATATTAGCCTATAGATAAAACCAGAGAGCTAATAGTTGCAGTGTTATAAAAGCAACATATAAAACAAAATATCCATCACTGTTGTAGAGGACTGCAGTTTTGTTTTGGTCCTCCTAATTCAAAAGTGTCCATCAGAAAATGTGAATTGCACAGCACAAATTAAAGGCATGGAAAAATTCTGTAGTAAGTTATAATGCAGGGGGTTATAGTAAATTTAAACTATAAGTGGCATGGTAGAAACAGTTCCTCTTTCATTGGAGCTGCTTTAATTGAAAGGCATTCCATTTAAAGCTGATCAAAGGAAATATTTTTTAATGCAATGTACACCTGATGTGTGGAATTCAACACCACTATATAATACATATTTATGAAGGATATCTCCACTGTACCTCCAGCCATCAGTTTCCTGAGGTTAATAAAGAACTTACTTGATCATGTTGCACTGTATTAATTATCCATGACAGACATTTTAATTCATCCAGTGTGGAATCTCATATTAAAAATAATGCAGGGTTTGTTGCTGTGATCCTCTAAGGCTCTCTCTCTCTGTGATCTGTAATTCTGTTTCTAATAACAGATTTCCTGAAGACAGGGAATATTCTTTCCATGAATATTGCTGTTCATATGCCATGCTGTTGCATGAGGCTAACCAGAATAACAAGTACTGGCTGTGTTTTTCTAATAATTACTCCAGTGTTTTAATTAGCATTAATAATGGAAAGTGGGTTTTCTGTATTACTAAGAACGTCATTCACTTCTATCCTCATTGTATTGTAGAATTACATTTCAAATAGCTGGTAAAACAGCTTCAAACAGCACAACTAACAGCTCAGGCTTAGTGGAGCTGGCATTATCCTGACTATTGTAAAATATGTGACTATCAGTTTAATATATTGATAACCCTAAGGAAGGGGAAAGACTTCTTCACATAGAAGAAAGTGAGCAGACTCTAGAGGAAAACGAAAGGTAAACTCAGCAGTCCAACAGTGTTGTATATAATGGTTGAAAAGGGGGCAGGTATTTTTCAAAAGTGGAAATTGGATCAGTTGCTTTAATACTGTCTTCATCTGGTCAGTAGAAAGGAGTCATATTTTCAGTTAGTCGTGGTAATTGGCATGTATTTGTATTTCTTGTGAGATACGTGTTGGTGTTTGTTTTGCTTGTCGTTTCCCAGAGATTTCATTTTTTTGGTAAAGTTATCAATATGACATTTCAGTCATTTCTTTTCAAGAAAAATCTTCTATTGTGCTTCGGGCACATGGGAAGAGGTACCTGCTGAAAAGAATAGGATTTTCATTTTTTAAATATTTCTCAACTAATTTTACTTCTTGCCTGCCATTTTCATGTCTGCTGTTTTTAATGTCTTGCACAAAAATTGGGATGCTAGCCATTTCTCACTTTGATTCACTTATTTCAAATTTCAAGTGTGTAATTACTTCCCTTTCAAACATGATGCCAATTATAAGTAAGATATACCATGTCTACATTTGTGTGCATTTGCCTTTAACCTCTCGTTCAGATGAGAAGGCCATGAAGTTCATTCAGCTTGAACGACTTTATCATGAGCAGTTGCTTGCAAATCTTTCTTCCATACAGGAACAGTGGGGTGAGTACCAGCTAAACTAATATGGAAGAACAAACACTTTAGTTTCTATTTCTAAATAATAGAGTTACATTTCCAGGCTAAAAATGTTACATAGCAAAGGTGGCATTGATATCAGAATTTCTCTGAGCTTGTTACAAGAAGAGTCTTCATGCTTTGGAATTTTTTGCACACATTTAATTATAAATGTGAAAATAGTTTGTAGTTCTTTATTCTGTTAATCAAGATTTTGATCCACAGTTGTTTCAAGCTCATTTTTTGTGTTAGGATTGGTGAGTGTGATGTGATGAAAATAAAGTATCTTCTGAAAGAATAGGATGATGTTCTACATAGTCTGAAACGAGACTGTAGAACATACACAGAAGAGTTGTCAATATTTCTCCATTAATTAGTTTCACCTAGTTGTATTATGTTAAGCTACTTTTATAGTATCTTAAGTAAAAGTTATTTTGATTTAATGTAGAAAGAAAATGGAAAACAGCAGTTCCCAGTCCAGTTACAACACTGAGGAATTCAGATAAAGAGCTGAGTGGCCAAGAACTGGAAAAGCTTACTAGAGTTTGCTCTTCACATCAACAGTGAGTATAAGAAAGTATTGTTACTCCTCAAACTAATATGTTACTGTAGGTGTTGTCTCCTTGCCTTTATGGGTGTTCTGAAATAATCAGTGTCAAAATAAAAGTTGCATCACTGACTTGAATTTGGTTATGAGGTGGTGGTTCCTTCTGATATGTAACTAAAATATTTTTACCATCGGTTTTCACATTTTTAAAATTTTGTTTGAGGAACGTATGAAGACTAAATCTGAATTTGTTTTACAAATCATCAGTCTTCCAGAATAGGAGTTTTGAGTTTTGTTTTTTCAATCAAAGGAAAAACTGAATAGTGTTAATTTAGGAAGAGATAGACTGTAGAACTAATGATGGTATTCCTGTTTAATACCTATTGGTTTAATCATTGTTTCAAAATGCAAATGTCCAGCATCTCACACTTCAGCACCCATACCTACCTTATAGGATTTTATTCCCAAATTTCCATATTTTAGGACAATTTCTTAATGCTTAAAGTAGTTCTTGTTACCTTCTATTAATTTCATATTGGTTGCATTTACATGAAGCAGTAATTCTGTACTTTCCTAGCATGACAGTGTTCTGAACAGTGAAATCTCAGTTGGTAGCTGCTTTGCCTGATCCATCAGCCTCCTGAATCAGTGTATCAGAGTACAACAAACTTGTGCCTAGGGTGCTTTTCTGGGTAGTAACACATATGGGATTGTACCCATCAGGTAGGAGGAGGAGATCTGTTCCTTCATGGGTGAATATCCTACTGTCCAGACATTGATTTTACTGCACAGATGGAAGAAATCATACGAGCTGCCACTGAAAAATGATCAGCCAACAGCAATAAGGAAACTAACTACATTCAAAGGCTGTGACAGCCTCTCAATTAGATGAGGAGAGAGAACTTTCTCTAGTACATTTGCATTGGCTTAGTCAATCTGGATATACAAAAGCCAAACTGCTAATAAAGAGTATTGATTTGGTTATCAATTTTTTTTCATCTGGGTGATGGTAGCAAAGTTTGAAAACAATCCAGCTGATTGCCAGAATCCATGCAGGGATTTTTCACGAGTATTCTGAATGCCTTTGGGAGGGAGCCCCTGGAAAGGTATTCCTGCATTCCCACAGGGAGAGGGGGCAGGTGTGGCACTGGAGCTGCAGGTTTGCAGCTGCAGTGAGCGCCTGCGGCTGCCCCAGCCCGCATTGCCTGCACAGGAGCTTGTGAGCCCACTGAAGGGCTGAGACTCAGCTCTGCTGTGATTTGTGTGCTGCAACGAGCAGCACCTCCCTGCCTTGCTGAGAATAACTCTGCTTTCGTCTTCGTTTCAGTTTTGAAATGTCATTCCCTGTTCTGAGAAAAAGAACTGCCATTTGATAAAAATTAAGGCTTGTGTTCATTTCCTGTGATCAGTGCTGTATGTAATGCTGTTACTCTTTCAGACTCTCAAGGCAAAAGCCTATTTGCATTTCTTGTTTCATATAGGGGGTTTTTCCTAGGTTTAAACTTATTTTAGTTTTTAATTGAAGTTACATTTTAATTTTTAATTAATAGCATGCAGGTCTTGGAAAATATGAGCATTCTGCTTTTTTAATTGAAAGTAATGTAAATTTTTCTCATACTCAAGTTTTACAGCTCTTTTGCTCTTTAAAGATAGTTTTGAGTGTCGTTTATTTGAATTTTACATGGTAAAATGTAAAAGGCAGTGTAACTTTTTGAAGTTTTGGTTAGAGAATATGAACATCAGTACTCTTCCCTTGTCTCTCCAATTTTTTTTCAGTAGCTTTAAATAAAATGCTCCACATTTTATCTTCATTGCTGTATGAAAGACTGTAAGACAGATTGTGTGTGATAGATCACATTGTGCTTGAATCTGTATCCAGCTGGCAAAGTCCACACTGACTGTGAGCAGCGTTGATTCACCTGTGAATCTGAATGGAGTCAGTGGGAGCTGCTGTACCTCACAGAACCCAGAAAATGTCCCAATCTGTGGAGAGGGAAATACGATTTTTGGGGAGGGCATTTCATTCCTCAATCCCTTTTATAATGATCTCTATTTTTAAATATTAGTAGCTATCAAGTTCTTGTATGATTTTTAATGTTGGTAGAGTTTCTTCTGAGCATAACCTTTTACAGGAATGTACATTGCTTGATATGTTGCAGTAAATTTGCTTCTGACTGCTCTCTCAGGTGGAACAATGTTAGGGCTAATTGGTCTTCTGATGATATTCATGCAAGTACAGATCTGTGCCTGAAGGTATGCTAGCAGGCTGACACTTGCTATGGAAGAAAAGTTCTGTGCTAATTTTAGAGCAGAGCAAAGATTTCTAAGACTTCACTTACTTTTATCATGAAGAATGTTGCTACTAGGTTATTTAATTTATTCTTTTTTTCTTTATTGCTGCAGGCCACAGGCATCCAGAAATAAGGTAAGAAGCTGTTTAATTGAATTCTGCTTTGTCAAAAGTTGGTAATAAATATATTTTAAATATTAGATAAAATCTTTCAAGTTTAGAAGCTTTTTGAAGTTTGAATGTCTCAAAAAGCCACATCATTCCTGTTTAATTCCAAAAATTACAGGTAATGCTATCATATTTTACAGCTGGTAACTGCAGAAAATACATGGGAAAGCAGTTGTTTACCTCAGTTAATGGAATCCAGAACTTTAAAGGAAAGAGAAGCTACTGCTTTTAAATCAGGTATGTGTATATGTATGTACATTTTTTTAAAATATTACACTGTAATTACATATTCCTATAAATAAAATTAAGCTATTTCATGTGAAACTACAGTATTTGTTGGATCTCTACAGATGCACAAATGGATTTTTTTTTTCTCATCACAATGGATAAATAATGCCATTTTAATTAGTCATCGATATTCATAACTGTAAATTCTAGCCTCCATCAAAAAAAAGTCTTAAATGTGCATGCATTTATATTAGCTTATGTAAAGTATGAAATTGTATAAAACTAGAGATAAGATGGATAGTTTTTATGTATACAAATATATACTAGGTAATCAACCTGATGACAGACATTCAGAGGTGTGGTAGTGGAGTACAGTTAACAGTATTAGTAACTATTTTAAGTTACATGCAGTGTACTGATTTTGAGATGCATTTTTCTGAAGCAACACAGAAAATGATGAAGCCTTTGGGAGGTCTTGAAGAGAAAAACATTCAGTTAATTGTTTTCAGTACATACTTTTATGTCATTTTCAGCCTCATTTTCCTTTTTCTGCCTTGGGGCAGTGGCCATTTTGTTTGAATCTTTGGGTTCTTATGAAACATTTACAAATTAACGAATTGTTGAAATGGAGACAGAATGGGAAAGAATATTGGTAGACAACCAGGCTGTGCTTTATCTCTCCTCTCTCTGAGCAAAAAGTTTCTGGTATTTTGCCACATTTCAGTTGCCAAAATTGGCTTAAGCTAAGTACCTTCCCTCAAAAACAGCTAGAGTTCTTCAGAAGATGAGAACTGGCCTAAGTGATCCTAGGAGGTCCCTTTCAACCCAAACTATCCTACAAGTGTGTATCAGCCAGGATGTTCAGGAGAATCAGAAATTAATGAAGATACAGAGTCACAGTTCTCTACATGTGTGGATCCTCCTTATCTCCATGCTCTTTTACCATGACCCCTATACTGCCTTTTCTCCACTTCTATTCCTGTCACCTAACTAAACATAAAGCATTAGAAACATGAAACAAACATGTTCTGCAGCTCAGAAAGCAGATCAAAAGAACACAGGTGCTTTTTATTGTTGAATGGTTGGAAATTCCCATGGAAAAAAAAAAATTACAGTTTTTCCTCTGATTTTATTCCAAGTGGAAACAAAAGCTTTCTGGAGAGCAGAGTTTCTGAACATCTGAATGTTCTGAATTCAGGAGCATTTTGTTTCAATGTTGAAATACTCCAGTACAACATCTTGACGTAATGGGGAAGTAATTAATGGTGTAAATGGATCTTTTCATGCCTTTCTCTTAATGTGAATCTTGTCAAAATACCATCAAAATCTTTGGGTTCCTGTGCAATGTTGGTAAATTGATAAAGCTATGTCATCCAATAAAAAGCAGTTCTACTGAGAAATTTTCAGCAGTGCAAAGTACTTCCAACACAAAGATAGGAATATTTTCATCCTATCCTGACTTTAAATGGTTGAAATTTGCAAAAGATGCTTTTCAAAAGATTAGTGCTTTCTTGAGGAAGCAGTGAATTCTCTCCCTGGTGAGTGTGAGCAGCTGTTCAGGCAGCATGTGGTCATTAGCTGCTGCTGCCCTTCAGTGTCAGTGCATCCCCCATCTGCGTGGGGAGGAATGGCTTTGGTTGCAGTCAGAAGGATTTGGGTTGGGAAGGCAGCAGTGTGAACCAGAACAGAAATTTGACAAAAGTGATTCATAACTGAAATGCCATTCAGATAACAAGCTGTGCCTGAGTGGTGCAGCTCAGGACTAGAAGCAATGTGTCCATTTGGGACTGGTTTTTGATTTTGCCTGAACACCAGCAGAATCCTATATTGCAATAAACATACAGCTCCTAATATTTAACCTTTACAGCAGTAGCCTAAATGCATGGGCCTTCTCACCCAAAACTTAGAATGCTTGACTTCTGCTTTTCATGTGGTTTTTTTCCTCTACCAAAAAAAAAGAAAAATGAAATGAAAAATGAGAAGTAAGCATGTAAAGTTTTACTTTTCATATGCATTTATCCACCAAACCACAGGAAGAACTACTTAACTCATTTAGCTGTTTGTAGTAGAAGTCTGGCTTACAGTAAGACAGGAAAAGGAAACTGTCATATGTTTTGAGAACAGGCCTTCATATTCATCCATATATAATAAGAATTTATGTAGCAATTATCAATAAGAATATGTAAAATGCATTGTAGCAATATCTGTATTACATTGTAGAGATTGTTGTACTGCACTATAGTAGCATCTTTGAAGTAAAATCTAACTTGCCTGGTAATCTGAAGCAAAAGTTACTCCCCTTGATCTGCTAAGGTATATGGGAACATAGTTTGAGCCTCTGTAGGCAGTTGATCCTAAGAATTCACAATTCCTCTCTCCTGGGGCTACAGCGACCGACAAACAGCTTTATAAGAAGTCATCCAGTCAGGATTCCTGGGGCAGTACCTGATTAGATTTGTGCCCTTCTGAACAAGGGTTGTGAAGGGTCTGTTCTATTAAATTTTACTTTCTGGCAGATTTTCACTCTGAATCTACCAACAGAGAGAATTTTGCCCTTAATACTATGTGTGTATATTAAAAGATGAGATTTGATACATCCTTTTCCCATTAATTTCTTCAGCTTCTGACTGAAAGCAGAACCTTAATAGCATTTAGTGTTAACTAAAGATAAATTAATGTGTTTCATGAAAACCTTCCTAATGAAACACTGAATTTAACAAAACTCTCAGCATAAGTTTGCAGTGTGTACATATAATTTAGACTCATTTGGAGTCTAAATGGGGAGGAAGTCTTTATACCGTGTTTACTGTTAGGTACTATGGGATTTGTTTTTAACTGAGAAGAAGGATGAAGATGGAGAAGTGTGAATTCTCCATTGGTAGATTACTGTGGATCAGTATTCTGTCTGCTAGGCTGTCCTGGATTAGCAGGACAAAGCGGTGCCTACAGGTTCCTGTGATGAGCAAACCAAGTGTCAATTCTAATGCAACTCTGTCAAGGGGAGAAGAAACCATTTTTTTAATTACCATAGGTGCTTTTGTTGCTAAGAAATTTTCTGTAGACACTTTGTTGTACCTCTGTCAGTCAGGCAAAAATTACTTCTGCCAGTGGGTATGTCTTCAGTTAATTTAGTGTAGGCAAAAGCATATTTTCTAATTAAGTCTTCAAGTATTTGTCTTAACTTGCCCTCAGTCTATAGTGGGCATGGGTTGCCTGAGGTAGCTGTAAATATTGAACACTGCTGAAAACTTGGTGTGAATGATTATTGCATCCCAGTTCTTGTACATCTGTGGTTACATAACCGTGCTAGGATCACTTATTGCTTTCTTAGGAACAGTGCCCTGAGCTCAAGGGACACCTTTCACAGTAAAGAATCGGATTCAATTTCCGATTCCATTTAATCTTTGTTTCACTTGGGGCTGCCAACAAAGATGCCTGTTGTAATGTGGATGTATCCACTAGGAAAAATTGACAGATGGTAACAAAATCTTGTACCAATAATCCAGGCTGTGTTTGAGCTCATGACCTGTATGTGGAGGGCTTAGTATCCCATTACAAATCCCTTGAGCTGTCTACTCATCTGTGTCTAATTTTTAAAAAGTCCCTATCTCACACCTATTCTTTCAGTGTTTTACTGGTTAGGTTCTCTGTACTCTTTCTTTCTGTTAATGTTATTCTGATTTTTTTTCCCACATTTTGATTTGCTTGGATATTCTCTTTTTCAATTTCCAAGTCTGTCTTTTCCATGCTGCCTTCATTTCATTAGACATTAAAAGGGGTATAGTTTGGAATTTAATTAAACTGTTCAATACAGTGAATTAATGCAAACATTTGTTTTAATGAATGTGACTGTTTTGTGTAACAAGTTCAGGAAATTGCTCACATTTTAAGAGAGGTTTTAGTAGGTGAGGAAGAATAAAATTGGCATGGAGAAATCAATTAAGAAGGGCATTGTTTGATATCTTTATTAATCTGTTCTTAAGACCTTTCTGCTCTTCACTATGACCAAAAAATGCAAATAAGTACTTTTATGAAGTTATTAGTTTGTTGATTGTGAATATTGCTATTACTGCAACAATAGTCCTATTATAACATAGTATTAACATAGTTTTTATTAAAATATGTAATAAAAGGCAGTTTCTGTCCTAGCTAGCTTACTTTGATGTTTTAATTCTTAACAGCCCCTTTCTCTCTTTTTAAGACTAAAAACAAAGTTTTGGCTTTCTTGAAATGGTTAATATCTAATAAATTCATAGATAACTTGGGCTAAGCATCTACTCCTTCATCAGCAGATTATGCCAACAGTAGGTGATTTCACAAGCTATGTAGAATTCTTTGTGTGTTTCTGAAATTTCAGATAAGAAAAAAGCTAGTGATCTGAAAATTTAAGATTTATTAAATTAGTATGATTTCAACTTCTTTAACGAAGTGCAGATATCTTTCTAGGTGATAGATACACTGGCATCAAGGTACAGTTTTCTGTAATTAAGTGCATTTGCCTGAACTCCAGGCTTCCATGAGATGGCTCACATAAAATATCCATTAGAAGAAAAGTGACTGTTCACAAAGATACTGACTTATATACTGGGAGTAGCTTTTTTCAGAAGGACACTGAATTGTGTGCTTCACCTGCAAGAATGTGTGCAAATACTTTTTTTTTCCCCGAACCAGGAGTCAGAGACTACTAACAAAAGTTATTCTGACTGGAGCATAAAGTATCTGCCCTTTATGGGAGAGCATTTTGAAGCATTAGGTTACAATGTTATCAAATCACAGTATACTCTTTCCCCCCTGGGCTGATGCTTTGAATCATTTAAAAACTCTGGAACTGTTTTTCCTATTGCACTTAGGTACTGAAACTTGTCCTGGCATTGCACCAAAGAAAGAAGATAAACAGCTGAGCACTGTCTGCCCAGGTGAAAACAAAACTGAGAGACAGACAGAGGCAGCGAGCCTTCGGGTAGCTGCAGGAAAGGACCACATGGAGGAGCAGCACTGCAGTGCTGAATCAACCCTGGAGCCACACACCCAGTCCACAGGGACAGGGGGCAGGCCTTCCTCGGGCTGTTTATCATCTGGGGATGCTGGTGAAGATAACAGCCTGCAGCTGAGGGAAAGACAGCTCTCCAAGGATGCAGTGAAAATAGAAGGGGCTGGGGAGCCGGGAGTGAAACTCCCTCTTGAGCCAATGGTAGATGCTTTGGCTTTTACAGATGATGATTATATGCCTGCTGATTTGGTTCCTTCTGACAAAGATGTGCCAGCTGATAGAAGTCTGCTCAGATCAAAAAGTGCTGCTGGGTCTTCAGAAATTCCTAGTGGCCAGCTTGGAAGCAGTGATTTAAAGCAGCAACAGATACAGCCTGATGATGATGATGATGATGATGATGAACAGCCTTCATGGGACAGAACTGCCTCAGGTGAATGCTCTGGGTGTAATGAAGTGTCTGAGCATGAGAGTACTGCCCATTCACGGGTGGGCAAGGAAATACAGAGAGCAGCAGGACAGGAGGAGAAGGTCAATAAGGAGCAAGAAGACTTATTTCTGAGATTTTTGAATGGTAACATAATAGACACTGAAGAATCTGCAGACTTAGCAAACCAAGAGGACTTTAACACTGTTCCAGATATTTCACCTGAACGAGCATCTTACAACTCCCTGGAAGCTTTATCACTAGATGACAGCTTTTCTTCTCTTGATGAACTTACAAGAAGGATAGAGATTACTGAGGTAAATATTGTAAATCCTATAAAATCTTTCATGTTTATTTCAGTTAAAATATTTTAGATATTGCCAACTTAAAAATATGTTAAATATTCCTTTATGTATCACTTTTCCAAATCTGAAATCTATACATATTTAATTGTTCTGAGTTACTCAGAAAAAAGTTTCACTTGGCCTCTCTGTCTCCTTCTTGACCACTGTGTTTCAAAAATAAGATTGATATCTTATATATGAGTGTGATACCTGGGGGGGGTTGATATTTTTTTTTATTCTGACAGAGACTGTTAAGAGGTGTTCTCACAATTCCTGTTAAATCAAATTTCATATCAGAAATCTACATAATACCTATGATGTACCATCATTACTTTCTATGCACAGAACAAAGTTTGCTTTTTTGTGCTTATTCCATAGAGGTGAGAACTACATATAAATTCTGCATATGAATGAATGGGTTTCTGATTTTGTCAAGTTAGGCAGATTTGTTGTTGAACCCAAGCTAAGAAAGAGCTTCTAAACCTGAACCCATCTCATAGGCCTGTAACAAGGATGAGTGCTTCATGAGCTAAATTGCTGTTCTGAAAATAGAGAAGATTTATTGCTTTGGGACTTTTTTGGAGAGTGTAATGACAACATCTTTGCTTTATTTCTTTTCTGGTTTTGCTGCATTTGCATCCTTAAGAGCTTTTTTTTTTTAAATTAAAAGGGAGTGTATTGTGAAATGATGTTATTTCAGATGCTGGAGGGGGAAGGCTTGTATGAAGCTATCTTCTTAGTTAATTTCTATTTTTAAGGCCTTTAACAATAGACTATCCCCTTGGCAATAAAGTTACAGTACTTCTCTATAGATCAAGCTAATGCACAGTGACCAAGAACCCCCATGATTGCTCAAGGACAGTGGCCAAGCAGGGAATTAAATACTGGAGGTCAATGCTGATGTTATTACATGTTTGGTAAGTGTCCAAAGCTGAAAAGAGAGTATTTTGGCTTTTCTACCCACCTAAAGAGTTTCTTACATCCTTTCCAAGATCATGCCTCTTGTCTTTTTGTGGGCCCTCAGGAATTATGCCACATACCAGGACTGACAGCCATGTGCACAAAGCTGTACATGTTAATACATGTATCCCAAATTTTCCTAAGTCCATTGGCTTGTGTTCACTTAGAGGGTGGTTTTGAAAAAGAGCATTTTGTTGACAGTCTGTGCTAAGCCTGAATACATGTATAACAAAAGAGTAATTTAAGTATCATCCCTCAGCATTAAATTTCTTTTGAGCCCACTGAAAGTGCTGCATTTTAGCAGAGGAGTACTGCTCTCTTTCACATAGATATAGCCTAATTTAATCCAATAGCATCTATTTTTAAATAGCTGTGTTTGTGGTGTTTGTGTTTCAGAGGATGGGATAGGAAGAGCATATTGATACTGTTAGAAAAATTATGCTTGTATTGATTGTCCCTGTGACTGATGATGATGCTTTACAGGGCATCTAATTTCAATTGCAGTTCGCTTTGCTGGTGCTGGGACTGCCAGTACTGTGATGGCAGAGTTGGGTCTCTGCAGAGGAACAAGTACTTTGAGTTTTTCCAAGGTACTTTTCTGGCCATATAAGGTGTCATGTTGGCTGCATTGGTGAGAGTCCACTTGGATCATTCTTAGCAAGACACCCGAGTTTTGTATGAGGCAGGGGGCTTAAATGCAGAAGGGAAGAAGGATTAACATCAGTAGCAATAAAATTTGTCATATGCAGCATCTGGGGTTTTTTCACAGTACTTGGGATTTCTAGGTGCCACAGGGTGAGGCAAGGACAGCACACCAGCTTCTATTGTTTCATTATACACTCATAGGATGTTCTTCCAGTTAATCTTACCACCCATCAGTAGCCTAGGGGTTGTTTTTCAGAAGTGATGAGCACCCACAGCTTTCTTGGAAGACACATTTGAAAGAGTTTGGCACCCCTGAGAAAGCAGTATTGTTAACTTGTGTTCATTGATTTTGTTTCAGTGCCAAAATGAGATTGCACTGAAGTTTTGACGAGCAGATGGAATCTTTGTACCCAGCTGTAACACTTCTTCCTTTCTTGTCCTCTTGAAGGCTTTGAAATTGCATTGTTCAGGCTATGGCAACCTAAGAAGATAATGGTGTTTTCATACACTGGTTGTTAATGAGGTATCTAGAAAATGCATTGGTAGCCACATGAATGAAATTGAATTAATCACATGAAATGTACCAATGTGGCAGAAAAAAAATAATCTATTTGACTGTGATAGAACTTGTCATAAAGTAAGTGTTTAGGAAACTGCCACAAACAGAATAGAAGGTGGAAGTAAAGATCATTTTGAAATAACCTGGGGAAAAAAAAAACCTATATGGTAGGACAAAATTTCATTAGTGTTCTTCAGTTGACATGTAATAATAATTTATTGAAGATGGAGAAGGGTAAATACCTGTGTATATATTTACAGTTAAGAAGTTTTGCTTGGCTCTATATTGAAAGCCAAGAATCATCTCATGCAGTTTTCTAACTTAGATACTTTCTCACTTGCTTTTAGTTTATCATTTACAATAGCTAATTACAAGAGTGAAAAATCACCAAATTCCAACTCTGGATTTAAATAGTTGCAAAACTGAAATAGTAGTTTTCATATTGTACAGGCCCTTATACTGGGTATTTCTTCTCTAGTACAAACCACATACAGCAATGTGCAAATGGTGGAAAACCACAGTCATTTTATAGAAACAAGATTTGTGCAGCTAACAAAGAACGTTGAAGCACAGTCAGAAGCTGGCAACAACAGATACTAGAAGTATATAGCTCTTCTTAAATATCTTTGCTATCATTTCTCTGAGAATGAAGTTACACACCAGTGGCAAAACAAATTGTAACCTCGATAAAGTTGCATTTTGCTATATAAAATTGAAGGTTCTACCATAAACTTTCTATGTGAGAGACAGGGAAGTGAGTAAAATCTTAATGTTTTTCCTTATTAGAACATTAGAATTGGAAATTATTTTTAGAAAGCAATGTCTACCAAAACATAGAGCTTTTGAATGGCAGTTTGTATACCAAGAAATGAAGTTTCCACTAAGTTTGGAGGCAGTGTTTGGGATCCTCTATTCTCTTGTATGGCTTGGGATCTGTAGCTTTGGGTTTGTAAGAGCTGTGCTCCCGTGTGAAGGGCTTACATGGTGTCTGCTGCTGTGTAAAGGAGCTCAGGTACTTGCATGGCAGGTGCTTCAGCAGGAAAAAGAGTTACCTTCAGTGGCTGTGGTGTGAATACTGAACCTGCTAAGTCAGCTCTTTTTCAAACTCCAATTACTCACTTATCTAATGTATTTTATTAGCCAAGGGGTTTGTCTGCTGTTTTACTGTAACACAGGCAGTCTTGGGTTCTGTCGTTTTGGGGATTTACTGCTTTAAAAAAATCTGGTATTGCTTGTTGAGTAGTTTCCTGCATTCAAACCAAACTACTTCATACAATGAGCTTTCCTTCCATTTGTAGTGCCTCCATTTGAGGTTTTTATTTATGTCTATATGCACAACTAAATTCTAAGCGTCAAGTTCAGTATGTTTTCTCTCAGAAGTTTCTTCTCAGAACTTGAATTACAAGGCCTTATTTTCATAGTTTTGTCTGGTATGTTTATAAATATACACACATCATATTTGTTGAAAATAAGCCCAGTGTAAGAAGCTTTTTGTTATTTTATTACCAAATGCTGTTTTAAACAGAGAAGAGACAGGTAGTTTAATTAGTTTATTTCTTCCAATTTTGCAATCTGGTTATTAAAATTTATCTGAAAAGTGTGAAACTTTTGATTGAAGCAGATGTACTTTCTATTAATGGTGGGGAAAAGAGAAAAACTTTATTTAACAGGGTTTCAATTAACCAACAGTCATTGCTGCTTTCCTTTTTGCCTGTTGGTGAAAATGCCACCACACAGCTGCATGCACTCTCAGTTCCTGTACAGCGACTGTAAAAGCTCCTGTCAAAAGATTTTGTGAAGGCCAGCAGAGCTGAGTAAGCTCAGTTACATAGATGCTCCGAGACCATCTTTTGTTAATTATCCAGCTTAGAATTAAGAAAATATCTGATGTTTCAATAGGGTCCTTTATGCAGCTCTTTCAGGTAAGAGCTGTTTGCAGGGCAGTCTGGTACAAGCCTGGTTTTTTCTGCCTGTGGGTCAAATCAAGCCTCTGCTTGACTTGTGGTCAACTGTATTAACCACAGTTCTCTCGTTAACTTCCAATTTAAGTAATACATTCTGCTTTTTTTAATTCCCCCTGCTTCCTAAAGAGTGGAATGTAGAACTTCATCTTGTGTGGCACCTAAGTCCTTCTCTTTGGATGTTTAATTAATGGGAGATGGGTCTAATGCAATCACAAAGACAAAAAAAACCTTAAGTATATAACTTATAGAATTTAAAGGCAGATGAAGTATAGTCATGCCATAGAACTGAGTCAGGGGAGGTTTAGGGTGGATTTAAGGAAAAGTTTCTCCACCCAGGGGGTGGGTGGACACTGGAACAGCTCCCCAGGGCAGTGGTCACAGCAGCAGCCTGACAGAGCTCAGGAAGTGCTTGGACAGTGCTCACAGGCACTTGGTGTGACTCTTGGGGTGTCCTGTGCAGGACTAAGAATTGGACTGGGTGACCCTTGTGAGTCCCTTCCAGCTCAACATATTCTGTGATTCTAGTCTAGGTATGAATTACATATCATGTAAAGGGGCCATTTTTCAAAATCCAGTTTATGGCTTTTGTTGGGATAGAGAAGTAACACTGGCCACACTGATTTTTATTGCAAAATCAAAAGCACTTGCTCCTTCTTTTTAAGCAAAAGAAGATGTTCATAATAGAGAAACCTGTGCTGTGTCAGATTAGTTCCTTATACATTTAAAGTAAATCCTGAAATGTATGGATGTAGGCTGACAGGGAAAGTAAATGAACCTCATTGTAGCAGGTCTTTCCTCCAGAAAGCCTTTTATGTAACTGTAATTACTGCAACACATTTCCACATAATCCTGTCAAGGATAGCCCTCTGGTTTTAAGCTTGGAGAAGACACAATTGGTGACACAGTCATTCAGAAACTACCAAGAGCCAACAGGCAAAGTGAAGTGCCTCAGGTTGCAGTGGTGACTTGCAGAACAGACCACCACTTCTAACCTTAGGGCAGACTGGTAGGAATGCCCTGCCATCTCTGGGTGACATTCCCACCTTGTGCAGTCCAAGCCACTTGGGAATAATCATGCCAGGCAACAGCCAGCCTGCTGTGTGGGTGGTGTGGGAGGAGCAATTGATCCTCTTTATGAAAGCAATGCTGTAAGCAGAAGCTTAAAATAATCTACTCTATAAAAGGATATCATTTCATCTCCACCCTTCCAAATAAATAAGTCAATTTAAGCACTCCTACATAATCCCCCTTCCTTGTCACAACAAAGAAACATAAGTGTTGATTTTTCTTCTGGCCTGTTAAATTTTCGTGGTAGTTTTGCAAGACTAATTTAACATTACCAGTAGAAGCTGCAACTCAGTGCACTCATTTTTTGTGGTGAGACACTTGCAGACTATTATTTCTGGGTCATTTGTGCCAGCTACTGGTTCTCTGCATGTTGACTTAAACAATGTATTTCCTCTGCCTCCACACTTCCATTACTTTCCAAGTACTTCCTTGCATTGTTTCATTAAATAATCCATTCAAGCTCTTGAGCAGATAAACAAAAGGGAAAGTGACTATCAGGAGTGTGGCAGAGATCAATTTTATCCTCTGAGTAGTTCTGGGTAACGTTATTTATTCGTCTGTTGAGGGCTATAAAATACTGCCAGACCAGAGACCTGCCAGTGCAATTGCCACATTTGTCAGTTCAGTGTTGCAAGGGCCAAGCTGCTGCAGTGCCTATTGGATTGTGCCCCGTGTCTCACTGTGTGCAGGGCACCATCTCTGACTGCAATCGATGCTTTATGTAAGCTCGTAGCACCAGGCAAGCTTAAGGACATAAGTTATGGAGTTCTTTTCTGTTTCTCTACAGCTCTTGGAAATGCAATGCAGACAAGTTTTTATGGGTGATCTTCTAACTTATGTTAGAGAGAGGCTTAAGCAGTCCTTTGTCTGCAACTACAGTGTTACTTGGAAAGTTGGGGAGTTTGGAGTTTTTGTGGAAGTTAGAGGCCTTTGGGGTCATCTAACAGATGAGTTGCAAATTCAGTTGTAAATGTGATATGTCTTATCTTGTAGAATAAATTTATACATACTACTTTTCAATTTAACAAATGTTACTGATGATGTACAGAATTAAGTTTTTTAAAGTCTTACTAAGATCTAGGAAGAAATAATTATGACTTTTTTTGAGGCAAGGATGTTCACAAAGTAAGAAAAAGGGGCAATTCTAAACATACTTTCTACTTTAATTTCTATTTATTTCTAGCACACCAGGAACTCCTTACTTAGGAAAGCATTTTTCTCCTGATACTTCACCTAATTTCATTTCATTAATAGTTAGGAAGTTACAGACTGCTCAACCAACCCAGTATGGCTTACCATATATTCTTGGAACTAATGGAAATGCTATAGCAAAGAAAAGAGAAGGTGTGGTTTGTTGACTTGTTGACCATATTGCTGTTTGTGTGACCAGCCTGTGGGGAAGGATTTTTTAGCTGCTGCTGTATCCAGAGAGCTTATTACAATGTGGAGCTGGAATCTATCCAGAGCACTAAAGCTTTCTTTTTCCCTGGTGTTCCCTCTCTTTGGTTTTGTAGCCCTGCTGTAGCTGCTTGTCCCCCCTGGGGAACCAATTGCAGTGCTGGAAAATTAATCTCACAATAAGTATCTGATGGTCTCTGCAGTATTATATCTTTGGAGAGGCAGCAGCAGTGTGTCATTGACTTCTTACTGCCCTCTGATGATAGTGATTTTGACACAAATCCGCCTCACCACTGCCCCTGCCCGTGTGAGCTTACAAAGGAACACAAAGTACGATCCAAGCAGAAAATGTGTGTGCATTTCACTTTTATAGCAATTAAAGGCAAGCAGAGTCGGTAAGCAGCAGAATGATACTGCAGCTGTCCTGAATGTTCAGGACTTGATGTCTTCAAGAAGGAGGTTTCACAAGTGCTGCAATGTTTAAAAAAAGTAGACTGGAAACCATTTATTAACTGTTTAGCTTGGCTGCTCCCTGAGTCATTGTTAGAAATCAAAGCATGAGCTCTATTTAACATATCACTGAATTCCCTGATAGATTACCCCAGTGGAAGGATTGGTGTCTATACTAAAGAAGAGAGATGACAGAGATGGAAAAACAATTGCTCAAGTCCAGCAAAGGCAAACAAAGAGAAGAGTGAGATTCCAAGAAATGGAAGACACATTGGATCAAGGTAGCTTAAATTTCTTAATTCATGGCTTGTGCTCTTGGGATGCAAATATTGTCAATATTTTTGTTCATAGCAGCAAAGCAGGCATTTATTGAACATGCTGTCTTGTTTTTTTAAAACTTAGTAAGTAAAGGTGATTGATCAAAGGTTGTTAATCTGTACCAGGTTTGGGTAACAAGACTACAGAAGGATACAATGAGCACACTTCTGTTTTAAAGCTTGGTTGAGAATGAAGCCACTGTTTTTTTCCTCTGGCTGAATGATTTACAAGTGACAGATAATTGAAGTCCTTTCATTAATGCTCGTTGCTTAGAGGTGAGAGGTGGAGGCTTTCTCCCTAAATCCATTTACTGTGTAGGCAGAGGGATGCAAAAGAAACAAGTCTATTATGCTTTGTCCATGGGTACATTTCCAGCCCTTTCTAGTGGTTTCCATGGGATTGGAGGGTGAGAGAGATTCTAAACTTGCTTTATAATTTAAATCCATACATATTGGCTAGCTGTCATTAAATCTGGCTGTACACCTTTTGATGGGCTAAATAGCCTCATGAGAAACACAGTATGTTTCTCATGTTATGTTTGTTTTTGGGTTTTTTTGAGTTTAGGGTCTCTATTATTCAAACTGAAGAGGTACTAAGAAAATTACTTATGATTGCTGATGATATAGAAAGTCCTATCTACCATGTATGCCAGCCACTAAATGGTGTGAGTTAGTTCTTAAAAGTGTGTTAGCATGTCTTAAACATTCACAGCCTGAAGAGACTCTATACCATCTTTTTCTTGAAATTATATTAAAAGTATTTATGTTTTATTTAAAATTCCAATTCGACTTTTTTAAATGATTTTTCCCCAGGATTTAGTGATTCAAAAGGAAAATTGGTTTGTATGTTATTATTACTTTAAGTTTGATTTCAAACACACACCAAAAAAAATCACTTGAATTTTTTTTTTACCCCATTTCTTCTCCCTGGTGTGAGTGGAGTACAGAAATTTCCTTAGAGCCACGGCAGTCTGACAGAAGGCACAGATGTTGTTCATGTGTATAGATTAGCAAGGACAAGTGAGGTTGTGAGGATGTAGCAGCACCTCTGCAACCTCTGCATTGCTCCTACTCTGGAATAAACAATCATGCAAAGAATTAGCAGAGAATTGCTGAGATGTAAAATAACCCCTCACATTAGCCTACACAGAAGGTTTCGTGTCTGCAGTCAAAATGTCAGAGCAGTCACAAGCAGTTCATTGTAGGGCAGTCTGTGTCATTACAAATGAAGCAAGAACATTTCCATTTGGTTTTGTTTCAAAGCCTTTGTTTCATTTGAACTGTTCCATGGAGATGGCTTTGGCTGTGGGGCCTTCCCACAGGTAAGCTTATTTTGCCTCAGAGTGGAATGGCTCCACCAGTGATCCCAGCAAGGACAGGTACACAGACTGCAGAAATGAAGCAAAGGAATTATTTAGGTTTCTGAAAAGATTGAGAAATATAAATTTCCCAGTGTGTATTGTGGTCACTTTGACATGGTGAGCATTATTAAGTGTGTTTACCTCCTGACCCATTCATGATAAAAACCTATCTCAGATTTTCTCACATGCATTTGTATTGCTTTGTATAGCATCTTTTTTCACCTTTTCTGCTCTTATTTGCAGATGAAGTGTCTGGTGGCTCCTGTATTTTGCTGATCCTGCTGTGCATAGCAACTGTTTTCCTTAGCATTGGAGGAACTGCACTGTACTGCACCTTTGGTGACATGGAATCCCCTGTGTGTACTGATTTTGCAGCCAACATGGATTTCTATTATACACAGATACTGCAGCGTGTGGAAGAACTTAAACACTGGATAGCCTTCTCATAGCTGAAAGGAGTGGGCACAGCATGCTGAGAGCTCACCAGTGGTTACTGGAGAGTAGAACAAAATTGTGACTTCAAGTTCTCTAACACTTGCCACCTGCAAGTGATGTGTATTTGATGATATACTTTCACATGTACTTAGAAATCAAGAAAATTTTAGTTTAGCAATCAGGTGGCAAAAAAAAATGTTCACATCTGTTCACAAGTGTAGCAGCGTGGTATGGGAGCATAAAAAGTTATTATCTTCATCGTTTTGAAAGTAGACAAGTAGCTTTTCATCCACTTGAGCAAGTGAAGAAGAAGGAAGAAAATTAACTGTCTTCTGTATTCTCTCCCATTGCCACACATTGTGTAAGCAATCTCTGGAAGCTTAGTAAAAGGACAGCTTTAATTTACAGCTGTTTGTGCAAAGGTGTTGCCTCCAGCTATCATGCAATAAGTCTCTGTTTTATGGAAACATTATTTTTTTTCTAAATCTTAATGTTTTTATCCATTTTATTTTTCCTGGTGAGCCATGTAATTATTTGGGTGGAGTCAGAAGAGTGCAGTGGCATTCACAGAGCCCTCATTTGGTAATTACCAGGCTGACCCTGTATCCTATATTCAGCTTGCAGTGAATATCATGAATGGGATAAATCTGCTGGCAGATTTCACTAAATTTCTTGGACCTTTACTCTCAGTATCATGTGGGTTATATTAGAAATGGAAGGTTAAAAAAGAAATCACTGGTCTCACTAAACACAGCAACTGAAGATGTTTACTAAATTATTCATATTAAATAATCAAGTGGCTTTGGCTCATTTTAAAGCACCTGGTAGCAGGTGTGGGGCTAACTGGGTTTTCCTCCAGCTATGTCACTGACTTGGAGTAATCACTTTGTGCCTCACTTTCTCCTCCATAAATGGGGAATAATGATCCTTGCCTTTGTCTATGAATATTGGAATTAGGGCTCACGTCTGATTCATCCCAAATGAGTGCACAGGATCACAGAAGTGTGTGGCTGCAGCCTCTGCCAATGACTAAAGGTTATGTAAAGGGGGACTGATCCAACAGAAGAGGCTCAGAGGTTCACTGCAGATCCAAAGCCTGTTGGTATTCCAGGGCACTTGTTCCAGCCCATAAAGCACATTTGCATTTATTTGCCCTGCAGTTCTGAGACCTGTAGTGTAAAATCTGTTCTTTCTCTATCAGCTTTACAAACAAATTTAGATCAGTACAAAGAGTGATTTTAATGGGTATTTCTATCACTTGGTGCTCAGCCCTCCCTGTGTAGTGGTGAGAGAAACACGGGCAGGACAGTGAAGGTGAGAATCAGATACACAGGCCCTTGGGCCACGCTCTGCCCAGGTGAGGCAGCTGTCCTTGCACAGGGCACAGTGGTGCAGCCCTGTTCCAGATGTGGCAGCTGTCCTTGCACAGGGCACAGTGGTGCAGCCCTGCTCCAGATGTGGCAGCTGTCCTTGCACAGGGCACAGTGGTGCAGCCCTGCTCCAGGTGTGGCAGCTGTCCTTGCACAGGGCACAGTGGTGCAGCCTGTTCCAGATGTGGCAGCTGTCCTTGCACAGGGCACAGTGGTGCAGCCCTGCTCCAGATGTGGCAGCTGTCCTTGCACGGGGCACAGTGGTGCAGCCCTGCTCCAGGTGTGAGTGTGAAACAATTCCTTTTCACCTCAGGAAACAGCATTTTTGAGGGGCCCACTTCACTCCACTCTGATTTCCTGCTTACTAACCTTGTATGATGCAGTGTGTTCAGGTTTAGGACATTATTTTGTAAAATGCTATGAAGTGAAATCTTTGAGATACTGCTCAGAATTATAACATTAAAGATCATGCTTTCTGACATTTGCAAGCAAATTGTCCCTCTAGTGAGCTTGATTGTTCCTAATGCACTGTTACACTTAACGGGTTTTTAAAGTGAAAGTTAAAATCATGGGTTTTTTCCTAGAATAAACTGCATGTATGATTTCTCTTTTGGTTTTCACTGTGAAGGCTTAGTTTATTTATACCCTAGGGAGTCTCATGTGCAGCTTTATACTAAACTAGCAAATTTCAAATGCCCAAATTAATGAAAACTTTTGGTTTTAGAATGAAACTTGAGAATGGTTGTTTGGGGGTTGTTTGTTGTCCTCAAGAGTATCATGATGGGCTGCTCTAAAGGAGAAAGGGAAAGACACTTCTGTGTTTTAAAGTGTTACTGGCTGGTTCAGTTTATTATTTGAATTCTGGGTTTGTTTGTTTATTTATTTAGTTTTTCTTTTAAAGAGAAGCTTAATTTTCTATTTTGGCAATTTACTCACAGAATAATTAAAAAGCATGCTTTCAGTTAAAGTATGTATTTATAGTGACTGTGTAGTTAGAATATATTTTGGGTTTCTGTAACTTTGCATTGAGTGTTTCTGAATATTAAGTTTATTCCTAAAGAGACAACTGTTCATTTCAGCTTAAAAAAAAATATTTTTAACTTTTTGTGCACTTCATCACCAAAAAGATCAAGAGGTATTTATAGATCTATTTATTAAAAATATATCAAACATGGTTATCAAAGATCCACAACTTTTACGTTCATTTAATTAAAACTATTTTAAAACAAATATTTTATTTTAAACTGTAAAGCTATTTGAAATCAAAGCAATTTTTAATAAGTATTTCAGTTTCGAATCAGTGATCCAAATCCTGGCGTTTTCTCTTTGTGCTGTGTTCCTGGTGCAAAGACTCACAAGTATCAGCAGAACTGCCTGGAAGATCATGGGGAGGTTGGGCAGCACGTCACCAGCAGGTACCCACTGAAAAGTGAGCAGCCAGACGTTCTGTGTAACCCAGACACCCTTCCCTTGTGACAGGAGCATCTCTTCAGCCTTCCCCAGCCGTGCCAAGGCAGCAGCCCTGCAAAGTCTCCCAGGATCTGAGGCAGCAGGACGAGCACATGTGCACAGGCTGTCCAGCTCCTGCTCTGAGCTGCTCACTCCTCAGTTGCAACCAAGGGTTCAAATCTGGATCCAATTTCTGTTGGCATTCCTTTATGAAAAGCTGATGGTGCAAATTCTTGCTTCATGTGGCAGTTCTGTCAGTGCAAATGGTCTGTAGAATTACCAAACTTGCAGCTATCAACAGAACAAAATTTGCTGTGCATTGGAGCTCCAAAGAGTGTGCAGGCAGGCCTGATGTTGGCCTTCCTACGTGTTCTGTTCTCTTTGGAATAGTGGTGACATTGCTTCCAGCTGGGAGACCTGAGGGGTTAGGATCTTGCAGACAGGTAAATCAAAGCAAAAAAAATAGTGGATTTGAACAGTTACTACTCATCTGAGTGTTTGAGGTAAAACAATACCAGCCAAGAGCTCAGATTGTTTCAGGAGGAAGAAAGCAGTGGAAAAAGGCTTCCCCTTCACACACATGCTTGGTGCATTTTAAAGCCTTTTGTATATAGCTTTTTATTCATTGTTTCCTTCCCTGCCACTGTGTTTATGGCTGTTCTGCTTGGCAATAGGGGGACCATACTGTGCTGAGTTGAAAACATTTGTAATTGATAGAAAAATTCAGGAAATGGTTCCATGCTTGACAGTAGTTTGAAAAACTTTTCATAAAATATAGCTGCATTTCAGGCTGCTAGTGTACCTTCAGAGAAGTTGTGCCACTTAATCATCTGCAGCACTCTGCTAGAAACACCCACCTTCCTGTTTATTCTTTGAGCATAATTATTTCAAAGAGATTCTTGTGATAACAAGGCTTTTTATGTAGATTCAGCATTATGCTGACAAAAGATCTGACCACATAATTAACACCCTCACCCCAAACAGCCTAGACTAGACCAAGAAAGGCACTGTGCTGTAGTGTAGCCACCCTATACTACAGGCTTCTTCTCAAGACAGCATGAGGAAGCAGACATTCCACAGCCCAGGTATGCCAGCAGAAGTTTGTGATCTAGACACAGGCCATTTCAATTTTTTTTTTCCATTATCCTTGGTTTCATACCTGGAAAATGCAGAGTAGCCCTGGTGACAAGGAGTGGGAGGTATTGTAACAAAAAGGGAAATTCTCGTTTAGGGTTCTTGATAGTAAAGGGCGAGTTTGAACTGTCAAGTAAACAGAGTACATTGGAAGTCCAGATTCTTGAGTGACTGGGTACTGTTCCACTCAATAACCTAAAGGGATGACCCTCCTAAGGAAACATGTTTGCCTACTTTGTACTGTAATGTAAAACCAGGAACATCTGAAGGGAATCAAAGTTATTTGTAACAAATTTATCTTAAGCTTCCTTTAGCAAAAGGAGTAAATAACTGTCTTTGAAAATCACCCAAGCTTGTAATTTACATACTGTAGCAAAAAAAATAAAAAAATAAAAACTGTCCCAAAGAAAATACATTAATCTTTTTGGGTACTGTGATTTCTAAATGGCTGGAAAGACTGAGATTTTCTGTGAAATTCAGGTAAATAAATAATCCCTCCAATAAGAATTTCATTATTAAGCCCAAACCGGAATGGAAAGTGAGGATAAAATATGTAACGTTTGGTCTGTGTTTTGGTGTGATTTTCCTGGGTGATTTGTCTTTGTTTCAATATTGAAGCAAAAACCCAGTTTCCCCACAGAGCCTGGTGCTGCCGGACAGGTGGGTTTCAGGTACTAAAATGTTGCCTTACTGTATCATTGTGAAAGCAAATTGACAGATGGTGAGTTTCAGAATTCCTAGGAATTGGTGGGTGACCTGGATAGTGGTCACAAGGCATTCTGCTCTCTGAGCTCAAATATATAAAAACACAAGCAGTTGCAAGTCAATCCAAACTAGTAGCTTTTGGTCTGAATAGGAATGTATCAATGCTACATTTTGGAACACTTTCCCACCTGTTTTTATTCCTTCTGTCTCCTTTCCACTTTACCACTTCTTTTCCAGTATGAAAAAGCACATTTTCTATCATTCACAGGACCATAAGAGAATTGAGTTAGGAAGGGACCTCAGAAAGTCTCTAGTCCAACCTTCTGCTGGAGGCAAGGTCAGCTGGGGTCAGACCAAATTGCTCAGGGCTTTATCCAGTTGGGTCTTAAAACCCTCCAAGGATGAAGACTGCACAACCTCCCTGGGCATATTCCTCTGCCTGTCTGTGCTCAGGGTGAAAAGGTTTTTCTTTATACCCTGTATCATCTCTCTTTCCATTTGTTGTCTCTCATGCTCCCCATACTGCTGCGAGGGCATTTCTTAGTAACCTCCTCAGAGATTTCATCTCTCCTCCAGGCTATACACTATTTTCTACCACTGTCCTTCTGATTCTTCCCCCTTTCTTGTCCACAGAATCCTCTTTCCTGACAGGAATCCAGAATTCTTCTATTAAAATAAGGATCCTGCATCCCTTTCCTCTTCCACTTTACATTCCGAAATTCAATAGTAAGATTTAGAAATCAACAATGAGGCCACAGGTAAAACTGAAATAGCAATTGCAGCTACTCTCGTAGTAAACCTCTTGCTGACTCTCACTGGCTCACCAGTGTATAGCAGTGATGGCAGAACTTACACTGATTACTCTTAAACAGCTGGTTTTTAAAAGACTGCCTGCTGACGTCCATGTCCATGTCTCTTTATGAAATATTTCAAATATTTTTCTCTAAAATAGCTACCCAAGGAAGCCTAAAATATTTAACTATAAAGTCCTTTCTTAAAAATGATTTTTTTATAATTTGGCTCCTGTAGAATTTAAGGCTCCTTTATATCATTTGTGATTTGTATTACTTGGAATTAAAAGTCGTGGTAATTAATTTTGTCATAACATGAGCCTAGGGTTTACTGATTTCAGTAATGTCCAAATATTGTGGTCATCTCTTGAAGAAAATGATGGTGGGGAGTAGGTGCATGCTGTTTTACAGTTGCTCTGTGACAGCTGTTACTGAACTGATACCAGTGAATTTCAGCCAAAGTTGAACACTTGGGTTCATCCAGATTTTTTTAATATGTCAAACAGGCTAAAATAGAAAATATAGACAGCACTGAAGAACAGCCAAGATATGTCCAATACTAGACCAAAGTCCTTCATTAATCTAAAATTTTAAGCTGCTCTTCTTGAAAACAAGTTTGAATCCATCTTCACATGACATGAGATCCGTCAGCTCTCTCCCTCTGCTTTTTGCCAAGGAGCTGTCTAGCAAAGTGTCATCTTTTAGCCAAGTTGGGCCCCTGCTGTAGCACTCATTTGTTAGGCTGCTGGGAAGTTTCCAGGAACACTTCTGTCAAGTGCCAGTTAATGATCGTGTCCCCTTTCATTGCCTGGCACTGAAATGAGTTTAAGCCCCACTGTTGTGCTTTCATAGACTGATCAACTTTACCAAAAACAGCTTTCAGAGTGAGAGCTAAATGTTTTTCAGAAAGCACCACGTGCCAAGTACTGCAATGAGAAAACTTGACTGGTTTTGCCATAACACGTCCAGACTGCACAGTTGCTGTTTGCAATGCATGGAAGCAGTGCCCAGGCTGTGTTTCCAACAGGGCACCCCTTAAGCTGGCCAGGATTCACTCTGTTCTCCTGAGCCAGCAGCCCTGCACGAGAAGGGAGTGGTTGCATCAGAAGTGATGAAAGCATGCATGCATTAGAAATTGAGCAATGTGAAATGTTCCTTCCACGTAAACCTTACACCTAAAACTAGAGGTGTTTTTTCCTTTTTTTTTCAAACTTTCATATAGGAACCATTAATCAGTTTCCTTTATCTTTTTATTAGAGAAATACAGCATTAAGCCAATTCCTCTGTTTCTTTTCCAGAAATAGGAATTAATGCTTTTTGCCAGGGAGAACATGCATCTTGCCACATGATGCTGAGAATCTTCGTGCTTGTGCAGCTTTTCTGCCAGAATTTCTAATGAAATGGATGGATTGTTTCTGAGGCTATCAGAGTAGCAAGAACATTTTCACACTACTTCTCTTGAGTCAGCTGAATCCAGTGCACTATGGAAGGGACTTGCATAAAAAAAGGGAGTGGAACGTTTGAATCACTAAGGATCTGTACAGTCAATTTTAGCAAGACAAAATGTCAATATCTACCATCAGAGAAACCAGCAAGGTTGCTTCAAAAGACCCACCATAAATAATAGAAAAGAGTATGTTTGAAAAGAGTTCTAAAGCAAAAAAAATATATTCTGAGGTTTCTAGTGACTTTTCAAAGATTTGAAGATTTATGTAGCAATTGATAAATAAGGGGGAACAACTTCTCAGTGTTACACAAGGTAAAGATTAAGTATTTTATGGATAAAAGGGCTGCAGAATAATGCAGCAAAGACCTTAGATTAGCTAAGGTAGTTTTTTACTGGAAAGAATAAGAAATATTTTTGATAAAGGTATCTATCAGTGATGGTTTTTTCCATCAGATTTTACAGAAATAGAAAAAAGACATACAATAGTTTAGTGACATCAGGGAGGAAAAGGGACTAAGGATTAAAATATTGTTAAATTCTTTGTAGACTCCTTAGGAACAAGTGGTTTGTACAATCTCATGTAGCAGGAAGAAGAAGAGCAAGATCAGAGCTTATAAATTCTATTTTATGATCTTTTGTCGGTTTCCAGTTCCCACTAGGACAACACAGATTAGGGAAGATAAATGAGTAGCCTTCTGTTCATAGTCTCTTTGACTACACACAGCTTTGAAGATTTTCTTTAAAGATATTTTCGTATTCTTATAAATTTTGTGGTGATCTTAAGGAATCAATTTTATTCAAGGGATGAATTTCCTTTCTAGTATGCAGGACAAACTGCAAATGCCCTTTTAGCATATTTTTAGTACTTGATATCATCATAGCCATGGTAGCTGGTTGCTATTTACATGTATTAAAACAAATGGTATCAACAGACCACATACTTGTGGGAACACAAAGTAAAATGGCAATTTCTATCATCAGAAAATGAGGCTCAGGCTGTCTGCAGTTACTTTGTGTTTCACCATCCAACTCATGCTCTGTTAAGTACCAGGAAAATAAGAATTCTCAGCAGAAGGGGCCCTGCTGAGAATCCTAATCAAGGCACAATCTCACGGCTCTGCTGGGCTTCACACAATACCTATGGCTGTGCCAAGAGGGAGGAAACAAAGCGATGTGGAAAGAAGCCGCAGTCACCAGATTCTGCCTCCCGGCAGAAATGAACTTCTTGTGAGGCACAGAAATGTTTTGACCGTAGAGCGGATGTTGTCATCACTGTCTGCAAATGTGAAAGATGAAAATCGTTTCAAACGTTCTTGGCATCCCTAAAAATTGACTTTAATAACTCTATTTTCATTTCAATTTTTTTCTTACTGAAAGCTTTCCCTTGGTTGAAAGCAAAGAAAATTATGCAATTTTTGAGGGG